GCCACCTTGTGACCAAAAATTGTCTAAATCGAACCAAAACTGTTCAAGCCCCTAAGTACTAAATATGTGGACCCCACTGCCTATAGTTGACCTTCTACCGAAAATATCAGTCAATCCACAAAGAAATCTCAAACGAGTATACCATTTGACTTTGCGAGAGTATAAAATGTTCGGTTACATCCGAACTTAGCCCTTCCTTACTTGTTTAATGTATACATTTTGATAGCTCTCTCACATTCTTTAATTTTGCTTTTAAGCGGTCAGTAAGGAGAAGCCAACATCTTCGCTATGAACCTGCATTTTATTTACTTTTTTACCCTGAACATTACATTAAGCTTGCCATTATGTTTGTAACAACCAAAAGTACACATGGGAAACCATATGAAATATATATATAAATTATTAATGGGGCGAGCTAAGTCGATTTAGCCTTGTCTGACTGTTCAGCCATTTGTCTGTCTGTATATAAGTGAACTGGACTCATTTTTCACACATCTTTTTCGATCACCTACGATCAAAATTAAGCCCTTGTAAGGAAAACTTTTTTATTAGCGAAATATGTATCTACACAAAATTTGGCATGGATCATCATTCCCAACGCTACAATCTTCAAACACATTTTTCAGATCGGTTCACGATTGCATATAAAAACTGAACGATCAAAATCACAACTTTTTTATCTGGAAGGGTATTAAAGTGGTATTCGGTGCAAACAAATTTAACAATTTTTCTTATGTTTTATATACCTTCTGCTCAAATATAAACGAGACTGGCTCAAACAACAAAAACGGTTAATTATTCTTCAATATTTATTTTATCCCCTTCAAAATAGTCACCATTAGAGGCGATACACATATGCCACCTTTTTTTCCAATCTTCCTAACACTTCTGGTAGGCCGCTTTAGGTATGGCTTTCAGTTCCTTCTTCGAATTCTCTTTTATGACTTCAATCGACTGAAAATGCTTTCCACGAAGCGGCAATTTGAGTTCAGGGAAAAGAAAAAAGTCACACGGTGCCATGTCGGGTGAATACGGTGCTTGCGGAACAATATTTACGTTGTTTTTGGTCAAATAATCGCGTACAAGACGAGACGTATGAGCTGGATTTTGGAACAAGTCGAGCAGACACACGTCTCATGCCCAAAACATCGTGAATAATGCTATGAGCGGATCCATTTGATATGTTGAGCTCACTAGCTATCTCTCTTTCAGTCACACGACGATTTTCCAACACAATTTTCTTTACTTTTTCGACGTTTTCTTCGTTTATTGACGTTGCTGGACGACGATCATGGGGCAAGTTCTCCAGCGATGTACGGCCGTCCTTGAACGACTTATACCAATCAAAAATACGTGCACGTGATAGGCAAGACTCCCCATATGCCTTCTGCAACATTTTCATTGCGTCCGTCGCACTTATTCCATTGGAATAACAAAATTTCTAACAAACACTTTTTGCTCAACGTTAATTTCCATAGAAAAATTCGAAAAACACACTCGAGGTTGACTTGTTTATAGTGCCTTAAAAAGAAAACTATGTGACAGATCGCGCTCAAATTTGACATGTAAACATATAACAGTCCTGCCAACCTAAGCAAAAAAAAGTATGGCCATATGTCATGTCCTTGTCGAGTTATGGATAAAGTCTCGTTTTGCGTTGAGCAGAAGGTACATCTACGAAAGTATGTACAGAGGAATAATGAAATAAATTACTGTAATTACATCTATACATACAGTATTACATAAATATGTACTTATCATACATATATACATAATGGCAGATCGCTTGCTTTCGTTAATTTTTGGCCTATTTGGTTTGACTGACGTTGATAAATGTCAAAGATAATGGTCATAAAATCTCTATAACCCAGCTTTAGGGCAAAAGAGCAAAGGTTCAAACCACTAATGCAACTTTTGATAACTTTGTATGAAATGAAAAACTAACGTTTTTTTGAACATGCTCTATAAAAAAGCTAATGTAGGAGATAAATAAATAAATTGACTATTAAGCAACTCTATATATTCTTTAATTAATCTCGGAATATACCGAAAAGACATTTGCTTGAGACTAACTAATGTCAAATTTTCCTTTAAAGGAAAGAGTTAAGAATTAATTTATGACGAATAAAACCTTATAGAGACCGAATAGGAAGCAACAGACACTACGACACATTTTTTTGCAAAGTTTATAAATAAATCTTAGTGAAATTATTTATTGAATTATTAAAATTATTTACATCTGTATGTATTCTCGTTTCAGTTTTTAATAGTTTTTGGCGCTCGCTAATAAATTATCTATTTAATCGATATCCGCAGAGATGTTGACAGAAATTATTAATAGGGTTCTTGTACATTTGCCACAATAACAATAGAAACTAAAACTACAATGTATACATCTATACATAGGTGCATTTATTGTCTGTTTGCTCTCAACCGCAATTGAATGTATGCACATTATTGAATTGATTTGATAATGTGATGCAACCACAATAAATCGAACGGCGTAAATAGTACCAATTAAAAGTTTCACAATAATAATTGGACGCAACATTAAAGCTTAATTCAAATTAACTGAAATTCATCAATTCTGCACTAAAAGGCCAACTAAATAAAATATGTTAATCCAGTTTAGTGCGTTTAAAAGCTATAAAAAGCTCAGGGTGCCTCCAAAGTGTACGCTGAAAGTCGAGCCGAGTGCAAAGCTGACGAATGCGAGAAGTCAGCTGTTTCGACTTCTGCTTCGGTAAGCTGCCACTCTGCGCTGCTTTTGCGATTTCGTATGTAAATGTACGTACACAGTTTTAAACCTCCTTCACCGCATTCGTCAGCTTTGCGCTTGGCTAGGCTTTCAGCGTCCTTTCTGAAGGACCCTTAGTTAGAAAAGTACTTACTCCTTTCAAGCTCTCATTACATGTGAATTAGTGGATCTTTGAACTGCAGCTCATAAATAAAAACCCATCTAGAGTTGAAACTCTTTTGAGAAGGTTGATCAATGAAAAATACCGATGTTGAATCGTTATTTGCATGGTTTTAGTTTGGTATATACTAATGGCTTTCGTCGTTTACGATACTGTCCAAAGTTAAAATATTAAAGAAAGGGGGAAACTCCGTGAGGGAGCGTTATGGTGGTACATTGCGAAAATTCCATAAAATACTGAGAAGGAAAAAATATCTAAAAACTTTGCTAATTTATTTTCAAAATTTTTTAGACAGCAGCGCTTGTCCAAGGAAAGACAACATAATCCAGAAATTGCTTAATAATTAATAGTGTTGTACTGACAAAATGAATATCATAAGCATAGTGTTTTTTGCGGGGAGCTCTTCTTCATTACTTTAATATGAAGAAACTCTCATGCGAAAGTCATCGTATTTTGGTGGAAGTTTATGGTGAACTTTCTCTAGCTGAGCGAACGTGCCAAAAGTAGCTTGAACGAATTAAAGGTAGTGATTTTGGCTTGGAAGACGAAAAATGCTCTGGGCGGCCAACAAAAACTGAAGTTGAAGAACTGCAAGCATTAAGATTGTTGCCAAACACTAGGAAGGCTCGCATAATATTTAGGAGTCTCACAAGCAACCATTTTAAAATATTTCAAATCACCCGGATGCATTCATTGCAAGGAAATTGAGTGTTGGGGTACAAATCGAAGCCAATATGCGTTGAAAGAAAACTTGAATGTTAGAAATGCTGCTTAAAATTAATTTTGCATCGAATTGTGACGGAGGATGAAAAATGGATCCATTTCTACAGCCCTCAATGCAAAAAATCATATTTGAAACTTGGCCAACCAGTCAAATCAACGGCGAAGCCGAAAACACCTGACACTTCTGATTTTGTTAAGATCAGAAAGGACGTGCTGTATTGTTAGCTACCAAAAGCGGCTGAAATTATTAGCGGGACAACTCATCGAATTGAAGCGAGCGATTGCCGAAAACGCCCGGAATTTGCGGCTACATACGAGTCAATACTTTTCCATCATGTTTCTGTGTCATGTTGCAAGACCGGTTAAAAACTATTTTGAAAACAGTGGCTGGGAAGCTTTATCTCACTCGCCTTATAGCACAGACCTTGCCCCTTCTGACTACCATTTGCTTTGGTCGATCCAGAACGCCTTCACGGGAATACGGTTCACATCAGAACAGGGTATCAAAAATTGACTTGATTCATTCTTGACCGCCAAGCCGGCGCAGTTTTGGGATGGAATCATCATTTTGAATAATATCTCACACGTTTATTTTTTAAATAAATATTAAAATTGTGAACAAAAACCACGAATATAGTTATAGATCCAATATGTAATTATATTAGTATGGAGCGTCCATATCGGAAGGTACCACAAAACAAAAGGAAAAAGATAAAACAGAAGTTGCTAAGAGCCAAGTTGCTAAGTTCTCGTTACTAAAATATTTAGAAAATGCTATAAATCCATCAGACTTCAAAAATGATTGTTCCTCTAAATATAATTATACCATAGCTCTACGCTGTAGTTTTACTTGGGTAATTATTTGCACAGGAAAATGAGAACAAGATGTAGAGAAAATTTGTTATAATCAATTTGTGTATGCGATTTTATAAAAAGCTTTTTGGTATTAGTGAAATTATTGCATATACAAAATACATGCCCTTTTATAAGTTTTAAATTTTTTTTTATCGATATTCGATCACAACTCAGTGAAAGTGTAAATATTGTTAGTTGATGTACATATATTATTAGACAATGTCAAAAGTTATATATGTATGTAATGAATTTATGCAAGAAGATAATTTTATTTTGTTTTGAAAACTATGAAAGATTTGAGAATAACCGCTGAGTCATTTGGCGCCAAGAATGGGCTAGCGTAGAGAAGACCTCCACCCATCAAAGGTGCTGATAATAGCATTGGTTTCGCACAGATGGGATTCCGTGGGGATTTCCTCAAACAAGTATAAACATAAGTTAATCAAAAGCAAATGTTTAATTGTATTGGGAAAATATTTACAATCACGCATAGAAATTCACCAGAAAGAGAGGGAGCTTTTTAATATTGCTGAAGATGATTCGTTATGTATGCGATTCAAGTTTTGAGCGTGTGGAAGATCAGAAAGCAGCGCGGCGCCGCAAGCAGTCTATCAACTAACCAGTTTTCGGATTTGCACTCAGTATAAACAAGGCGGTCGTTGGATGAACACACGATCTGCGGATCGAAATTAATATACGAAATCGAGACACTTGGGCGCGATCGCGTCTTTTCTTTCTTTCCATACGTAATAAGCAGTTGACGTTCTTGCGCGTGTGTATGAAGAAGATCATTAATAAAATATTATAATTATCAAAAGTCTAAAAAAGTTTGCTTATGCTGTGGAATCAATAAAAAAATCTCGTTTCTGAAATTTACATATGCTTATGAGTTGAAATAATAATAATATTATATATAAGAGCGAGTAAAGTGATAGAAGTGTTAAAAGTTTAGAAGAAGTAAAATTTGGTCATTAAAAAGTAACCAAGCCACCTTCAGCGCACAAGTTCATCTGTGCCACAATTACCTCACCGTTAGAGTACGGCTACAACCAAAAAGTGAAACATGCATTTCCCCAGCATATTATTGGCGGCTTTTTTGGCCGTGCAACTAAGTGATCGCGCTCTGTGTCAACAACTGCCACCGCAAAAATTTCAAACCCATCCGACGCGCATGAATGTAACCAATTGGAACAATAGGGTGGGTGTAATTAAAATCACATAAATATGTTTTATTTTGTATGCGTTAATAAAAAGTCAAATTTCAATGAAAAATGGTTAAGAAAAAAAAATTGCTAGGAGATGTATGCTATGCATATACACTTGTATTTAAATACACTTAAAACCTAGACAAATCTCGTACATGAATATCAGCTGCCGAACGAATATTCTTTTCTGTACGAGTTTATTGACGTAAAAAACCAGAAAAAACGTTAACTTAGGTTGCACTGAAGCTGAAATACTCTTCACAAATAAATTTTTTCCATACAAAAATTTGATTTTGATTGATCAGTTTGTATGGCAATAGCATATATGTAGTAGTAGTCCGATCTTAAAAATTTATTCAGATGTTGATCCAGGCCAAATTTCGTGAGGCTATCCTGTCTAATAAAAACATTTTCCCCACAAGAACGTGATTTTAATCATTCAGTTTGTATGGGAGCTATATGCTATAGTGGTCCGATAAATGCGGTTGTGACAAGTGAGCAGCGTCTTTGGAGCAAAAGGATGCAGAATTTCAGATCGATATCTCAAAAAGTGGGGAACTAGTGTGCGTATATACAGGCAGACGTGCCGACGGACATGGTTAAAATGACTCAGCTCATGATCATTTATGTATATATATATTTTTCAAGTTTTCGGACGTTTCCTTCTGAGTGTGGCAAACTTAATATACCCTGTTCAGGGTATAATATTATAATATATAACCGCTCTTTTTAAATATGTGGATAAGACAAGAATTTTTATGCTCTGAATATGGTCGTATATAAAATCCAGTTTTTGTACAGAAAACTTTTTTATTTAACGAGCTATCTTCACGACATTTGGCACGGTTATATTGTTACGATCTACGAAGATATTATTCAGATCGGACCTCTATAGCATATAGCTGCCATACAAACTGGCTGATCCAAATATAATATAATCCAGGTATATAAAAATATTTTATTTATCGAGATATCTTCACGAAATTTGGCACCGACTATTGTTTAAGACAACGGTACAATCTCCAAAGAAATTACTCAGATCGAACCACTATAACGTATAGCTGACCATTGAACTGACCGATCAAAATTATATATTCGGTGTAACCGTAGTTAATATATTTTCTTGTTGTCGGCTGATTTTTATTTTTGGTTCCAATATTTGAGCAGTAAATTATTATAAAATTGGTATATCATAATACAGTCTCTGTAATATTTTAACATTTTCACAATTTTAGAGTTCTACCACAAATCTGTTCACAGTGTGGGATTCTCTCCCAAAGGGAATCTTACTGAGAGTTTTCAGATTCTGGGAGAAGCACGCAAAATATTTGTATTCGTGTAAGAAAATAAGATGAATTAACACAATAAATCTCATGAGCGAATTCGTTCTGTTTAAGTTCATTGTACTTGCTAAGACAGACTTGTAAAACAACAGAGCAAATAAGAAAGTTCTCAATATGATGCTGAGATGCATATTACATTTATAAATATGTATGATGCATTTATTGTATATACTAGGGTAACTCAAAAAGTATCACTTATGAACAATTGCTAGAATGATTCTTTAAGTATTATTACAATTTTGTATTGCCTAATTATATTTATATGAACAAAGGCTTATGCGTGGTGTTAAATATCTTTATGCAATCTGGAGCAAATTTGATAGAAAATGTTCCGATGATATTAAAACTAATTTTGGCACTTGATGTCCCATTATAAATTCACATTCTTTAATTTCAATGTATTTGAGCAATTGGCATCAAAGGTGAAAAAATCTAGCGCTCTTTGTATTTTGAATTTGGGTCGTCGTCTCCAAAAGTATTACACTCTCTGGATTTACTTAAAATGTGCGGGTGTGTCTTGGAATCTATACATATTTATATATTACTTATCAACTTGTATTAACTAACAGATTAATACATACATTAAGATTAATATATACATACATTATATATATGCGCTGTGAACGCTTGCATATGACGCACATATAGCTTCTATCATAAATCGTATTAAAAAATTAATTTATCTCGAATTCTTGTTGAGCGGCTTTTATTCCGCTCAATTGATCTGTCATTGGCATTGCTGATTGTCAAGGCGATTAATTAATTTTTAGTTAAATTGTTTTGTTTGTCTCAGCGAAAAGAGTACATTTCCCGTTTTTTATAAATCGGAGTCTGTGCAGGAATGTGGGGATAATACCTAAATCGAATATTGATTGTGAATTGCTAAAAATAATTGGTAATAAGCAAAGCTCGCAAAGAAATTATGTAGGCTGAGATGTTTACAAACTACTCCGCCTCTCGATATTTATATATTCATTTTGGACATGACATAACGAATACGGTTAAAAAGGTGAAGTAAAAGTACATATATATCCGTAATATAAACTTCCTTAAAAATATACAACATTTTTGGTTTTGCTTTAGGTTTTTTTATTTTCTTAAAAAGGAAAGGAAGAAACAACAGGTAACATATGTGCAGTACTCCAATGTAATCCCATCATTTTTCTTTACAAATTCAACTTAAATCTTTAATAGCTACCAAATAAATGTTAAATTACAAAATAACATTTTTTTGCATACAATGTCTTTCTGTAACATTATCTAAAGAAGGGAGTAGTCTCATTTTTACTGTACATTATAGTATGACGTTTGAAGAATATTCTGTTAAATTTTCAAGGAGAAATATTAAAAAATACGGCAATGGTAGCCATAACTCTGAAGCGTCTAATTGCGGCGGCCTCCTAACTCAGCGCTGCATCATCTGAAATAAGCTTTGTTGAGGTAACGATGGGGGTTTTTCCAAACTTAAATTTTTCACTTTTGGAGAAAATTTTGAAGGAAAAAACACGATTTTTTCGGAAAATCGGTTTATTTCTAATTGTAAAATATAAAATAGTAAAAAATATGTAAATAGTGTGAAACATTTCGATTGGTGCTGTAGTATTGAAGTTATGATTTTGAATGCGTATATAAGGTGCGTTCCAAAGTAAACAGTAAAAAAGTAACAAAGTAAACTCTAGTGGCGCCATCTATATGTCGACTAGTGCGTTAGAATCTGCTATCCTTTATCGACTTCAAGTAAAAATTGCATGACATTTCATCTATTGGAAGTAACTTCACTTGCGATATAGAATAGTTTTCTATCAAAAGCATATCAATATTCATAAAACTTCTAATGTTACTTGGATTACTGCGTTATTAGATTAGGATAGTCAATTACATACACTGTATATGTTAATTGATTGAAATGAAGTGTTTAAATACTGCTTGGGGTTCAAATTTTTATTAATTACATCAAATTTTGATATAAATTTTAAGTATAAGAATGTCAAGCATATATTTTTAACATCAACCTCTTTGTTAAGATTATTAATTATGAGTGACAAATTTGAGCTGTAAGCTTGGATTGGTTTCTTATAATTTATTATATTAAAAAATATTAGGGAGATTAATTCCCTGTTATAAATAATAATATTTCTTAAATATTTAATACAAATTTGATGTAAAAGAGAATATGAAAATTGTTTATTTAATAAAAATCAGCGCAGCAGTTAAATTTTTAGTGTGCTTTGCACATATACTTTTATTAATGCTATCCAAATTATTTCCTTTTGGTTTGAGCACTGTATTGTTTAATAAAAGTCACCAGATTTCAAGTATTTGAACCATAAGGAAGCTATTAGGTCAAGTAAAAAGTTCGTTCGTATTTTTATTATACAAGTATATCGATAGAAACTTAAATCACATGTAGATTTATTCAAGCAAATTTAACATATTTCGTCAAGAAATCCCCATCTATTGAGGTATAAGTTAGAATTGAATATGGAAAAAATATTTGTATTTTGAAAAATATCTTTCATCAAAACTGAAGAGATAATAAGAATCACTTAATTCCCATTATATAGCGCATATTTAAAATACTAAGGTATAAACATATTGGAATGATATTATTTCGAATTTAATATAATTAGAAACAATTTAACCAGAAAACTATTTCAGAATTTATTTTAGAATAGCGGGAAAGTTAATAAGTGAAATAATTCCGAATTCTCTCTTCCTACCGCTGCATTTTAGCATTACCGCACATCAGCAGCTACGTCCAGATCCGATGAAATGGCCAATAATTGTAAGGATCTACTAACAAATCTACATGATCGTGTAAGCGTGTTAGCAACACTAGATGAGGATCTGCGCAGACGTTTGGAAGGTATTGAAAATAAGTAAGTCTGCCAAAAATAGTTTCTTCGAATATAAATACGCACGAATACTCTAAGTAGCTGAAAAGAGATCGAAAAAAAATCTAGAAAGTGAACCAGTTTTTTTATTTTACATATATACGAATTTTTTGTGAACAGGACAGACATTCTGTGACGTCTTTTCCAACGTGTTTAACGGCATAACGGAATAAGACGCTACATATAGTATTTTTAAGCCAGTGCTATATTATATAATTATATGTATAATTGTGATTAGACCTTCTATGTTTCTAATTTTAAATTATGCGAGCTTCTTTTGCATTCCACAATTGCTATTTTACTGACCAATAGATACAAATACATGACGAGTTGAGTCAACTTAGCCATGTCCGTCTGTTTGTATATATATTTTGAGATATCGAACTGGAAAAGTCTTTTATCTATCAAGATGTCTTCACGAAATACAATTTTTGAACATACTTGTATTGTTCAGATCGAACCAATATAACATATACTTGCCATTCAAAATTAGCGATTAAAATCAAGATAAAGACCTGTTCGTAACCCTTATTCTATAAACATAAGCCGGTGAAGGGTGTTATATCTTCGGTGCAGCCGAAGCTCAAGTTCTTTCTTGACCTTACAGAAAACGCAATGAGTGCTATTCTTCACATAACGGTTGTTTCTAATATCATAAAATAATTGTTATAGGTATATAAGTAATTCAAATACGTTGTGATGAATATAATTTTTTAAATAATTGGTGTTGGGCTTTCTGATCCAAAAAAAAATCTGTAATAAAATAATATTTTTGTTCCTGTATATTGAGTATACAAAGAGTTTTGAAAGAGTATTTTTAAATTTTTCTTGATTGAGTATAATTACTACTTGCCCCCATTGCTTTACCATATCTATGAAAACCAAAAGTGTACAATATCATATTATATATTATATTTCAAAGTGAATTTTAAATATATTATGCATACTTTGAGAGAAAGTTGTTAACCATTTCAGCGGAAAGTCAATTTTTATTATTATTTTATATTTACTCAGATCAGTATATACGTATATGAATGTTCTATATGTGTTCCGCTGATGCAGAACACACATTTCGTTCATACATTTTCTGTTCAAATCAAAATTGCAGTAGCTGTCAAAAGACATTCCGTAGCTTAAAAGTTCTGGGAAATGCTAATTTAAATTTTAAATATTAAGTATTAATAGGAACTTGACATTAAATAGCAATGAAATAATACATAGGTATGTATGTATAAATATATGGTATTAAAGCGTCTGTTGTTTCCAAGTTTGTATTTTTTTTGTTAACGCTGCCTGAAGTTGTTGGCCTAAAAAAAGCATCTAACGTAAACATTTATATCATTGGCAATACATTTTTTATCTCCAAGTAAATAAACCTACAACTTTGAACAAATGATATTTTAAATAATTATTAATAAAAAATTTTCAGCCCTATAAAAAATTTAATTTTTTTATAAAAGCATTCTTACTACGCATTCATACAAGTGCCTTATAATATCTATGTTGCTCATATGACATGGTATGCTCAGTTACTGCATTATTGAAAAAATTATTAAAGCCCTTTTTCGTAGAGTGGAAAATTTTGTACTTGAATATAATTTTTTCATGGCTTAACTGTTTAATGCAAATTATCAAAAAGTCCCATGTTATATACATACGAAAATAAATATGATTTAATATAAATATATGTTTGATTATAAAACGAAAATTTCATTTGAATTGTGACCCGACAGTCTGCAAACAATAATTTTATTTTCTTCCTAATTTAAAAAATGTCATCACGCCCTAAATTTTTAATAATTTCTTTAAAAAACAATCATATATGTAGTCGAAATCAAAACAAAAAATTTACTGATAACTTATGCGAAATCAGTCTCTCATTTAATGTTTTTGCCGGCTTTGGATACATATATACAATACTTGCTATTAGTTATCGCTATGTAGGAATTGAAAATTTAGTAAATACATACATGCATATATTGTGCGTTATCGTTACTTCAATTTTAAAATTCAAAGGCAGAGCATTTAGGGACCTTCACATATGTATGTACTTAATTATCAGATTTGGAGCCCACTGCCACTGCACATACATATCACACTAGGGTAGGTAATTTTAAATGAAAAAACTAGAAAAAACGTTAACTTTGGTTGCACCGAAGCTATAATACCCTTCACATATACTAAGGTTCCTTACAAGACAGGTGCAAAATTGCAGGTCGATAGCTTAAAAGCTGAGGGACTAGTTTGCATATATACAGACGGACGGACGGACAGACGGACAGACAGACGGACATGGCTTAATCAACTCAGTTCATTATGCTGATTATTTACGGGTCTCCGACGTTTCCTTCTGGATGTTACAAACTTCGTGGCAAACTTAATATACCCTGTTCAGGGTATAATGAGTGCGTTCCAATAATGGAAATACGATACTTTGTTTTTCATACATTTGTTTTCATATATGTTATATACTGATATAATACATATATCTCGTATATCGTTGTGTTTCTACTCGTATATGTAATTTCCAAGCTAAAAAAATGTAAACGAAGTATACCTAAATATACGAGTATATATAAAAATATAAATTAAATAAATATTCCTTAAGTTCTGTATGAAATATTTGAAGACAGCGGATGCAATCAGCTTGTTTCTATCATTTTTCATGTATGGACATGAGTAATACTCATCTGTATTAGAAACATATATTAGTTGGTTCAGTGAGAATATTGTATACGGTGAAAACCCCCAATGCTCACATAAAATGTAAAAATATAGCAAATTCACACTCATTTGTGCACAATAAATACACAAATAAACAAATATAATAGTATTCGGCTGATGCGGTATGAGTAGTCAGCTGGCGCAAATCAATGAGTCGGTCAAGTTGGCAGATTGACAAATTGTGCCAACTGACTGTTTATTTAAATACTCGAGCTACATATATCTTTACATATACACACATGTATCTATGTAATATTAGTTTTTTGTTTGTAAACAAAACCGAACGACGAACAAAAAAAACAAAAAGTAAATGATTAGAAACAAAAGTTACGTAAATTGCACCTTAAGTATTGCCTAAAGAAATTAATTTTATTTTGGTTCGAGATTAATTAATATCAATTATAAATTGTTTTCAAAGTGTTCTATTATATATAAACTATTTGTCATTAAAACAACAAAAAGCGTTAACTTCGGTTGCACCAAAGCTTTAATACCTTCTACAGGTGCATTGTTTATAGCGTAAAAGTGTATAAAAGATCCTTAACTAGATTTTTATCGGTCTGTATGGCACCTACATATATGCTATAGTTGTCAGATCTAAACAATTTATTCGAAGATTGTAGCACCACTTTGGACATTAAACCGTATCAAATTTCGTGTAGATATCTTGTCAAATAAAAAAGCTTTCCATACAAGAGATTTTGTTGGATCGGTCAATTTGTCGTTCGGCGTTTCCGACAAATAAACTTGTGAAAATTTTCAGGGCGATATCTCACAGACATACACATATATACAGACGGACATAGTTAAATAGAATCAGCTAGTCAAACTGATCCTTTATATACAATGTATATAATATTTTGTATATATATATACACTTTTTAGGGTCTCCGACGTTTCCTTAATATGCCTTATAATAGGAACTTCTTCTTTAGATTTTGCATTATATAGTAGAACAACAACGATATAGTGCAGATATTTACAGCCACTTCTCGCTAGAACTTTTCCCGAAAAGCCAAAATCAGGCAGTCCGCCTTTGTGGTTTAACAGATGAACAAAACCAACAAAACCCTTTCAAACTTGCTTACAACATAAACACTTACCACAACTGCACCAGATAAGCATTATGAAACAAATTAAAATTGGCAATAAAATTGATTTTACGATCCTGCTGCCATTGTCATTGAGAAAAAAAACCATAAAAGTTTCATATTTCTAGAAATTACTGACTTTGAATATTCAATTTCAAATATATATAAAATATTCTGGTATGCACAGCGTTGCTTCGCAATAACCCTCTGAATAATCATTCTCTAGATAATGTGAAACAGTGTCGTGAAACTTTGACGTTTGGTATAAGCTAAAATAAACTGTTTGGGTTAACTCACTTTTTAACTAAATTTAGTAAGATTTCCACATACAAAGTGCAAGTGCCACTACATAATCTGGAAACTTAACCTCCGTTTCAAAAATCAATTACTTGCGTTCTTTTGACCTGGCTGTCCGTGGTCTCACGACAATCGGTTTGGTTGTACGAATTTGGTTATGAAATTTTAATCCAGACAAGAACTGTCAACTCGATAGTATTTTTCAAAATCATTTAGGATATATCTATCGCCTCTACAAGAAGAATAGTTTGTTCGATTCGCTATACACCAAAGCTTGGCGAATTGAAGACAGCTAATTTTTAATTAGTTCAAATTTTTTGATACGCTTCATAAGACGATATAGCTTTAATATGATATGTCTATTATATTTTCTTCAATTATTAATACGCTTTTATTAGCTTGGGTTGTATGTATATAATGGAATCTTAGAGCTCAATTTTCACTGGTTTCCAGAAGTCTTTGCAGACGTGACAATGCAATAATTTGATAACAGTTTCTCATTACTTTAAAGGTAAGCGTAACCCCGCCCCTAAATGATCTAATGTATATATCTTCCAAGTCGCTAAAGCTAACTCAACCAAATTTGCTGAGAGGAAGAACCACGCCCACTCCACAGTTATGTTAAAATATACTAAAAGTGCGATAACAGACTAAATAAATGCGCCATAAACATTAATTTTCACAAACAAGATGGTAGGGAAGAGCTTTATAGGAGGAGGTTTACAAATTCTTTAAGCGTGTTTTTATAGTTTTTTAAACTATAATTTATTTTGTAAATATTCATTCACTAAAATCTGATTAAATTTTCGTTCCAGGATGGGTCAATTCGAAACAAATAACATGGGTCGGTTAGACTCCTTGGCTGTACAGCAAACCGACTTCCTCAAGCGACTCGACACTCTCGACTATATGGAACGCCAGACGAAGCGCAATATTGACGAATTGAAAGGTGACTTGAACCAAGAGAGAAAAAAGGAAGAAGGTCAGAAACGACAATTTAACGTTAAGAAACAATACAAATATTTTTGCTTTGTAAAAGAATCCGTTGCTTTGCTTTATGAGTATGCCAAACGATTGATTTGAAAGTTGTTGTTGTGAATAGCTGCTTGTAATAAATAAATTACTAATAGTTTTTGTTTTTCAACTGTTTGCAGCAATCGTTTTGCGTACCGCTCGGGAGACCAATGACCGCCTGCCACAGATGCTGTCAAGTGATGTCAAACTTGATTCTTTGGGAACTTTATTGCTTTCGACGCGTTCAGCTGTCAATGAATTGAATAACCATCTGGAATCGAATATTAGTAAATTGTCAAAGTGAGTATAATCACTTGTGTGCATATTTTAATTGTAATTATAGTGATTGTACATTTTGAAATGTACAACTTAAATGCTTTGACGACCTTTAAGCCGCTGATGTTGCTTAAATACTTCTCAGGCCTTAGAGACGCGACTCTTATTTATACGTAACACTTGTATATATATATATATACATACATATGTATCTAAAAATACCTTGGTGATGCGTTTTATTGTCTGATTTTAAACCCTCGAAACATGTTGCACAAGTTTATCTAACGGCCGTTAGCAATGGCAAAAAAAAATCGAATACCGGCATAGAATTACTTGTATACATGTATGTATGTATATATATCTAAGTTTGCAGAATGACTTTGCGATATCTGATTGTACTTATGTACTATATGTTCGTTCATCGCATTAACCACTTTCTTGCATTAAAAGGATTAAATATGGAGTTCATCGGCTTATGTCTTCTCTCAACACCTACATATGTATGTAACGAATTTTCTTCCACCACTTTAAGAATAAAACAATCTTTCTACATTTTACATGCTTTTAACTCGTAAAATTTTCGAAGGTATTGTGTGCTCAGATCTGTATGAACTTAGACCCATCTTACTTTTTTATTTTGTAAGTAAATTTAGTAATATGTGTGACGATCGTGATGCGATTTCTTTTTTATCACCTTCAATGGTAATTAAAATTACTGAGACTTAAGAAAGAATTTAGCTTCAAAATTACATAATCTCACTCGACCGAAAGGTTTTAAATTGGAATTGCAATGAATATCATACAAAATATTTATTAAAAAAACAATATCGTGTTGATTTATTTTCGTAGATATTGTATTATATTATTCACTTTGGATTCACTATTCCTCTGCCCAGTATCATTATTCCTCTGCGTACACAAAATCCTTGATTATATTCTTCATTAATCTTAAAGTTCTATACAATATAGAATTAAGTTTTCTGAAGAACTTGTCTTTTGACAATAGTTGGGGAAGCATAAGACCGTACTTATCGTTTCAATAATAAATTAATCGGTAGTGTACTCGTATTCAATAAAATACGATGCAAAATAAGCAAGGAAGTGATAAGTTCGGGTGGAACCGAACATTTCATACTCTTGTAACTTGCAAGGATCAAAGCCGGGGAAATACCTTCAGGTGTTGCCAAAACTTAAACATACTTGACATAAACTCAACCGAAGAGGCTAAACTTAATTTATTGAGTTGATGTGCAAATTGAGCGCTAAACCAAATAATTTTTAGGAAAGCTTGTCCACCTCATTTCATTAAAATGTCACACATTTAATGAGGTTAAAGTCGGTGAGAAGTCGGAAATCACTATAGGTATAAGGTATGTTGGGGGCAGATTACATTGCTTAGGTATACTCGTGAACATATTTTCAAGAAATTTTATAAATAACGTACACACTAACCGTAGAGTAAAATAAAATAAAAACATTGTATGTAGTATATTCGAGTTAAGGTAATTGAAAAACTAAATTCACATATTTTCGGCTTTAAACTATAGAAGATCCAATATTAAATGTTCAGTTAATTCTGCTAAGATATCTTACATGTTTACTGATATATCCGCTATAAAGGCAACGAAAGAAAAAAAATCTTTTATTAGGTACATCGGAAAAAGTGTAGTATTGACCTGGTTTTATCTAATTTTAGCAATACCACACATTATTAACAGAAGAATATGCTTTCTAAGATTCATTAAGATACCTAGCATACCAGCACCAAAATATATGGAGTAAAGTTTAAAAACTCTGAATATCAGTTATATGGGAGCTAAGGCAAACTTTTTCCCGATTTTATCCATTTTTGGCACAAAAATACAGTGTAATTATAAAACACGCTCTCTCAATTTCATTAAAATAACTCAACTCATATTTGACACAAAACACACATTACTTAGAAGAACTTAGATAAAAAGGTTCGCCCTACACACTTTGTTCCACATATTCGTTATGTGGGGCTTGAAAAGTTTTGGTCCGATTTTAACAATTTTTAGACGCGAGATGGCATATCTAGAGGCACTATTTGTACAAAGTTTTACTACGAAATTTAAATCAAGAATTGAAATCTAAAAACAAATTATTAACTGAATTACTGGAAATAAATAAATTAGAAGTAAACAAATGTAAGTCGTACGGGGAAATTTTAAAATAGGGTAAGAAAGAAAGTGTTTGAAAAAGTCCCAGCGATTGTAGTTAAGACCAAGAATAAAGAAACGGATAAAAACTATGCTCAACTAGTTAAAAAAAATATTTCTACTAATAGAAGTGCTCAAATCAAAAATGTAATGACAACAAAATCGGGTGTAGTGATAGTTAAGTGTAAAAGCAAGCAAGATGTCGCAGGAACCAAAGACCTACTGACTGAAAAACTAGGTGAAAATTTTGAAGTGGTAAATGAATGCTCCCAAAATCAAAATATATATGATATAGAAAGTGACATGAGCAAGGAAGAACTAATTGATGATATTTGTAACAGAAACAGCGCCTATTTCGATGGTGACTTTAAAATTATAGCTGACTTTACTAATAGTAAGAACAAACGTAGCTTAATTCTTGAAGTGTCTTCTAACATTTATCTCAGTGCGATGTCCAATAAAGTTACCTATGTTGGCCATAAGAGCTGTCGTGTGTTTGATGTTTTTGACTTGAGTATGTGCTTTCAATGCGGCCGGACCAATCATAGCCGCAAAAAATGTAACAATGAATCAGCTTGTCTAATTTGTGCTGGAAAGCATATTCCTAGAGAATGCACCAGCATCATAAAATCATGTATAAACTGTGTTTATTACAGTAAACATTTTAATAAAAACAACCCCACTGATCATGCGGCAACGGATATCAGCGCATGCGCATACCTCAAATTCAAATACAACAAAATTGTGAAATCAACAGACTATCCTACAATGCCTCAGATTCCGACTCACTTTGGGAAAGTCCTTGAACCAAAGAGGGCATCAACTTAGAACATATAACACAATTTTCTCACCAAAAAGGAATAATAATAGTAATCAAGATTTGAATTGTATTATTGAGGATTCTGTAGATAATCTAGAAGATTTAAACAAGAAGTTCGCTGTCAGTGACATTCTCATACTTCATATCAACATCAGAAGTCTCAATGCGAATTTTGAAAAACCTGAACTTTTGCTAAAAAGTCTAATATGTAAACCACATGTTAAGTTTGTAGTGAAACGTGGAATTTAATTGAACATAAATTATATTCATTAAATGGTTATAGCATACATTACAATCAAAGCAGTATAAATAAGGCAGATGGAGTAATAATGTATTTCTCAAATGCTCTAAAACGCTCCACATCCGTAGATACTATCGGGTGTTGCAATTTTCTCTCTACATGTATAAGTATTAACAATAATTTAAATTTAAAGGTAACTGGAATGTACAGATATCATGACATCCCTAAGGATGAATTTATTAACAATTTAAAAATATACATGGATACTAATTCTAAGATTAAAAATCATATATTAGTTCGAGACTTCAATATAAATTTAAATGATGTAGACTATCACTCAGATCTACTACTATTAAGTGTTTTAAATATGAATTATGTACCGTTTTTTAATAATACTACCAGGCCTTATAGTGAGCATGGATTATGTATAGATAATATGTTCGTTAAAACAAATATTCCCAACGTAAAATCAATTACATATAAACAAATGATCACTGATCATTATATTTTGTTTTTGTCATTAAATACGTATAAATTATTAAATCATAAAGAACCTAAGAATTATCTCAGTTATACTGCATAAATACTGCAGAAAAATAGTAAAAATGTACTTTGGGAAGACATATTAAATATACATGATCATGAATATTGCTACTAATAGTCTCATAGCTGAAATACAAAATTTGATAAAAAATGCTCATGTAAAACCAAACCACAACAATCGTAAATTTAAACAGCGTAAAAATTGGATTACGATTGGCATTATGAAGTCATATCGTACTAAAGAGAAGCTATATAATAAATGGAAAAACAAATAAAGATAATAAAGGACTAAAAACAAAATACAATACTTACTGTAAAAAACTGGACAAAGTTATAAAAATTGCTAAGTGTAATTATGAGAGTAATTCGATAAATAGTAAATCTAATTGTAGTAAAGACTTATGGAATTATGTTAATCATAAATTAGGTAAAAATGTAAAGGCATCTAAAGATATAGACTACTTAATCGAACATGATGTGAAGATTACTAACTCTGCGGAAATTGCTGATACTTTTGTAAATTTTTTTAGTAATGTGGGTATAGATTTAGCTGCAAAAATGAAAAAAAACAGATAACAGTACGGTTTATAATATAGCAAATAATGCTAAGTCAATTTTCTTTAAGCCAACTGATGAACAAGAAATTGAAAAAGTAATCAGAAACCTAAAAAACAAAACTGGGGGAGTTGATGGAATTAACACTAAAGTCTTAAAAATAATAAGTAAATTTATTAGTAAACCATTGGAATTTATCTTTAATAACTGTATGCCTATAGGAATATGACCAAATGGATTAAAATGTGCAGAAACCTACCAATCCATAAATCAGGAGACAAATATAAAACTAATAACTGTCGTCCAATATCCTTAATTTCTAATATAGCAAAAGTTTTTGAAAAAATTATTCATAAACGAATTTATAACTTCATAACAGACTCAAAAATTATTGCGAAAAACCAATATGGCTTCTTAAAAAATAAAGGTACTAAGGATGCAATTGTAGCAATTACCAGTTTTATATACACTAATATTGATAAAAATAATTCAACAGTGATAGCTTTCCTGGATTTAGCGAAAGTTAACGGGGTAAAAAGCAAATCATGTAAAGTGCAAATAGGGGTGCCGCAAGGTACAATCTTGGGACCACTGCTTTTTCTTCTATATGTAAATGATATCTTTAAGGAACTACCTGAAAACTGTTTGGCAGCTTATGCAGATGATACAATAGTTAAATGTATAGGTAAATCTTGGGCGGAAGCTGAATCACAAATGAATGTGCAGTTAAGTTTAATAGGGAATTGGCTGTGTAATAATTACTTAACTCTAAATGTTGGAAAAACTAACTATATAACTTTCGGTTCATATAAAGACAGTATTCCAGAAAGTTTTGAGTTAAAATTTATGATAAGACCATTAAAAGAACTGATAATAGTAAATACTTAGGTATATATAATATTTTGATAGTCACATGAGATGGGATATTCATATCAAAGAAGTCATAAAAAAAACTAGATATTTTCTATTTATATTCTCAAAGTTTAAAAATAGAATGAACAAGGAAGCACTAAAAACAATTTATTACGCATTATTCGATAGTATAGTCAACCATGGAATTATTGCCTGGGGAGGTAGTTATAAAAATGTTACAAAATTGTTAATAAAAATACAAGATAAATTAATTAATAATTTATGTGATAAAAACGAGAGAACACCCGTACTGGGTATCAAAAAGAAATTTATTTCTGAGCCACCATGTTATCATTATTCCGATTGTAGAGAGGTATTTAATGAATATAAAGGTAAGGCTAGAGCTAAACCGTTACAGTTACCAAAGGTAAATGAAAATATATCTTACAAAGACTCGAAATATATAGCAATTAAATACTACAATATGTTACCGTTGAGTCTAAAGTTGTTAAATATTGAAAATAAAGCAAGCAAACAGAAAATAACTGAGTGGATTGTAGACACTGATATTTAAAAATACTATGTTTTCTTTTGTTTTTCAATTATAATGACATTTGTTATTAATAGTTTAGTACTTAATTATAATAAACTAATATTACCAGGCCTATGTACAGGTGTTTTGTAACACCTCTATAGGTGCATACTTTGTATGTAATATGTACTTTGTATCCTGGGATAAATAAATAAATAAATAAATAAAAAAAAAATATTGATATAACTGGGATTCACATACTGAAAAGGGCAAAAATCAGATTAATTAAAGTTGGTTTATATGGAAAGTAGGCGTGGTTGACACAAACATTTCATAATAATGTTATGTACCACATGTGGTTTAAATTGGCGTCCGGCGATATGTAATTTCACCTAAAGACGGATGGTGCCACGCTCTTCGTCCAATTTTGACAATGGGTCCAATGAAGTATTCCTGTATCATTCTTGGTGTAAAATTTATTGTCTCTGACGTCTTTTATTGGTTCTCAACATAACAGTTATATGAGAGGTGGGTGGGAGTGTCAGTAGAGGTGCAAAAAAGATTTGTCCTGAGTGAATTTGGTGATTATTGTTTTAGGGGTTTGAGGTTTTTGGCGGGGCCACGCCAAATTTTTGCCCACAATTCGTTTTAACAAATATCAGTCTTGTATTATATTAGTTATGGCAATTTATAGGTTTTCGATTAAGGGCGTTTTGTGGGCAGACTAAGGAACAGATGTACAAAATTTCATGACGATATCTAAATTTTTGCTCAAGTTACTGTTTGCACAGATAGACGGACGGATGGACGGACAGACATATATATATCCGGATTTCAAATCGTCTTGTCATTCTGATCATTTATATATTATATTATATATGTACATACACATGTATATAGCCCTACAAGTATATCTAACTCGTTTAGTTTTAGGTGAACAAAACTATTATACTCTGTAGCAACATGTTGCAAGAGTATAATAATTCTTCCTTTATAAATATGTATACATTTCCTTATTATATACTAATATATGAATAGTAATATATTTTATTACACCTAATTTTTTTTTAATGGAAATTTTGTTTTAATCCACATCTAGCATGGTGGCCCGCGGCTTTAAACACGTGCGACGCAACAATCGTCAACCGACAAATTTCTACGATACCCGCCAGCCAACAGAGCCACTCATTACCAGCTGTGCACAAGACGCTCCAACGTCTAATGGTATTTTGCGTCTGCAACTCACACCCGAATCAGACCCCTTCTATGTACGTTGCGATGATGAGCTATTTGGTGGCGGCTGGACCCTTATACAGAATCGTTTCAATGGTAAATTGAACTTCTATCGCGGATGGCTCGAGTACCAAACTGGATTCGGTAATATAGGTGGCGAGTTTTTTATCGGCCTTGATAAACTACACGCTCTCACTTCGTCAGCGGTGCATGAGCTTTTGATTATGTTGCAAGATTTCGAAGGCAACTCCCGTTATGCACGTTATAATTTATTTGCCATCGGTAACGAGAAGGAGGACTATGCGCTCAACTTGTTGGGTAAGAGCGTTAGCACGCCGAGCCGAATGGATAAATTGTACAAATAGTTTTAATATTAATGACTAATATTTCAGGAGAATACGAAGGTGATGCTGGCGACTCCTTAACCTATCATGCAGGTAGCAAATTCTCCACCTTCGACAATGACAATGACGGTTGTGTTGACTGCAGTTGTGCTCAGTCCCGAAACGGTGCTTGGTGGTACAACTGGTGTGACATGAGGTAATGAATAATATTTGATAATTACATTTTGAAGGCATATTTTCACTAATCTTCCTTCATTAACAGCAACTTGAATGGAAAATATTTCGAAGAAAACTACAATAATACGCCGTTGTATCAAGGAATGTATTGGGATGGATTTAGAGGACCCTCTTATTCATTGAGGGCTGTGCGCATGATGATACGCCCAGTGAACGCTGACGGTGATTTGCAGAGGAAGTAGTTTATATAATTAAAATGGGAATTAATTACCTAAATGTATGTGTACATTCTCTGCATAATTGTACTTAGGCTCTCTAACTTATGGGTGCATGTACTTTTGCCATTTACGATTACTACATTACTATGGTATTGTGTTCAAAGTCTCGCTCGTACGAAAATAAAAAGTTTCTAAATGTTGCCTTATCGTCACAAAATATACTCAAAGGAGACTTAGTGTTAACTATTTTAATTATATAACATCTATATATATATCTATTGATATACAATAATCCTATAATACATAAATAATGTCTATAAATACATAAATTTGTATCAAGATATAATTTAAATCACATTTGTAAACTGTACTTTAAATAAAACGTAAAATGCCATCTTGTAAAAATTGAATTTAATTTAAATAATGGAAGAGTTAAATAGATATCGGCAATATATCTCGATCTTATTATCATCGGCCTTTTAATAAATTTTTCTCTGATTTGTAGAAATTCATTCAATCTAATGTGCTAGCATCAAAGCAATATAAGAGGCAGTAAAACAATTCAAAATTTAAAAAGTAATCGTCTCTTCCAATACAATATATGTATGATAATACAATGTCCTCCTCTTATTAATTCTTTATTGTTTTTTTTCGTGTCAATGTCAGTCAAATTTCTGTAGCAGTAGGGTCTTAACAATAATGAACAGGGATGGGTATGACCACAATCAAATTACATTGGGTTAGAGCGTTTTCTGTGTGAAAAAGCGAATTAACAATAACAAGTAAGGAAGAGCTAAGTTGAGGTGTAGCCGAAAATTATATAAAAACGTCTTCAAATTAGATATAACTCGACTAAAGAAGTTAAATTTAATATAAATTGAGTAGATGTGGAAAACGTCAACCAGAGGATCGAAATTCATTATATTGTATATATGCAGAGCATAAAGTTTGTTTCATAATTTTTAGAAACGTGGACCAAAGGGGCTAATAACCATATCCACTTCCCAATTATAGAAATGTATGGTGAATATGGCTAGAAACATTTGTCTTATGTTTTCGCAATAACTTAACTTGATACTCTTATTTGACTGCTCTGGTCCAAAATGATCGGAGTCTTTATATACATTACAAAATATAACAAGTAAGGAAAGGCTAAATTGGTGTGTAACCGAACCATTTATACTCTCACAACTCGGTGTTTGCAAAATTTTGTATTAAAAAATGTTGTGAAAGAATTTAAAATTCATTGATCGACGCAAAGCAGATGCAATTTAAAGTTGTGTTATATAGGAATTAGTCCGATTTCGCCTTTTTCAAGCTGTGAAATGTTATAACAATGCTATGTATCATATTTGGTTGCAATTAGTTCAGCATGTTGAAAGTGTTTGCCCTGTGCAAATTTGGTTGATACAGCTTGAATGGTTTGGGAGATATATACAGTATAAAACTTCTTGTGATGCCAAAGAACATGTGTACCAAGTTTCATCAAGATATGTCAATTTTTATTCAAGTTACAGCTTGCACGGGCGAACGGACGGGCAGACAAACAGTCACCCGATAAAACGATCTGTATTAACCTCGGACCTTTCGGTTTGCTTACGGTACTATTATTATTTCACTAACTGAAAATATGACTACAGATTTTTTCAATATAACCACTTCATGTTATTGGTTCAATCTTTCTCATACTTTTTCGTAGTGTTACTTAATAGCATGCCAAAAGTGCTGTAACTAGGAAATGCTTACGCAAATGCTCAATCAACTACGTAAATCATGAATATCTGGGTAAGTAAATACGCATTTGTGATGCGATCAAATTACATGCATCGGAAATTAAGAGTAATTTTCATAAGTTTATCGTACCTATATTTAAAATATGGCGAAACATGCAATAGAAGAAATTGCATCAAAGCTAACGCAGATAAATATGAGGCTTTGCTTAGTTTCAGATACAGAGAAAACTCAAGACGATTGAATAGCGGACGTCAAGAACTTCCCAGAAAATTAAGTATAAAACTGCGCGTACAAAAAACTAACATATAAAATTTAAAATAAAAGTTATAATATTTTAGTTACGAAATGTTTTTTGTGGGATTAATATTACTCACTATTTTGCAACTGAACTTTACCAAACAAGTCACGGCGTTTGGCCACAACTTAGATGATCTTGTATCGAAGGCTAATATCTACTATCAACAAGCGTGTGTATTTTATTGTTTTAAAATTTTTTTTACTAAGGTTTCGAAATTTCTGGTTATTTAGTGCCAGCTCTGCTGGGATCAGTGAGCTCCAACTTAACGAAGTGGAAAACTTCCCATCGAAAGATGACATTAAACTAATTATTCACGGCTTCACAAGTAGTCGATTTCATTTCTCCATTACGCCGCTCAGAAATGGTAAATATATATTTTAAAACAGTTTGAAAACATGTTGTAGTGTTATGGAATCCAAGTGATTGGTTTGCAGTGAATTAACCGTACAATTATGTCACAATGACTTCTGTGTAGGACTGTTAGTTTGTTATTAACGCTGGGTGGGCCATTTTAGAGCGTTGTGATCTGTGTAGCGGAATTACCAAATAATTTGGGAAATTGCAGATTGTTAATTATACAAACAATAATTTTATTCATAGAACCGACGCAAAAATATATATAAAGATAAGACATTACTGATTTCCTCCCTTTTTATATTCTTGCAACATGTTGCTACAGAGTAATAGTATTGTTCACCTAAAGGTTGTTTGTATAACCCAAAACTAATCGAGATAGATATAGAGTTATATATATTATATATAAACTCAGAATATATATAAAATCAGAATAACGAGACGAGTTGAAATCCGAATGTCTGTCTGTCCGTCCGACTGTCTATCGCTGCAAGCTGTAAAACTTGAGATATCGTAATGAAACTTGGTACACGTGTTACTTGGCAAAAAAAAGAGTTTGTAGATGGGAGTATTCGGACCACTGACACACCCTACAACGTGAAGTTTTGCACAAGTGATCGCAGTAGCAAAAGGCACCTGTGGGCTAAAACTTTTTTAAAAATAGTACATATCTCTTAAACCACTTAAGATACGGTAACCAAATAGGAGCAGGGTTGAAAATAAAACGGTGGGCGTGCTACCGCGCCCATTTAGGGGAAACCCCATATATCAGAACTTACTCGACCGATATCGACCAAATTTGGTATATAATATTACCTTGATATGCCTATGTTTTAATGTGAAAATGTGTCGGCACGTACTTCCCATATATCAAAATTTAATATTTTATCTGTTTCTTTCCCTTTCCAATTTGCAAATCAAGCACTAATGAATGTATCTGGATACAATTTTGTGGGAATAGTGCGCTTAAAGTAAGCCACCTTATGATCAAAACTTTTCAAAATCGGACTACAACTGTTCAAGCCCCCAGATACCAAATATGTTGACACCAGTTCCTACAGCGAATATTTTATCGGGCAATTTTTCCTGATTACAGTATACCTGTATGTAAAAAAGGGGTTAAATCGGATCAAAGCTCTTCATAGGTGCCATATACCTAATATAAAGATTTTCGAAATTCCAGTTTCTTTTATACCGCATATATTGGCCAATGTTGTCTTGTTTTACTAATAACAATGTATCTTTATACCTAAAATGGATAAAATCTGGTGAAAACTTGCCCTAGCCCCATATAACTAATATTATACAATAATATTCGAACATCCGGATGACATAACTCCACATATATGATTGTAAGGGTACCTTAATGAAACTCAGGGAGCATAATATTAGTACGTGGCTTGTTCATAGCATGTGATATTTCCAAAACTAGATGAAATCGGGTCAATATATCCTTTAGACCCAATATACCTAATATATAATATAATTTTCAAACTTCCGGTTGGCTTTATATCATATACAAATTACCCCACTCCCATATGATTTTCCGTCTTTCCACCTGACTTTATACCGTACAGGTTGGTCAAAATGTGTGATATTTTAAAGAAATTAAATTGGCGATTTTCCCTGAATCTGTGGCCTTCCATTGAATATGAATGGAATTGGTCTAAGCCTTGGCCTAAACATCATATCATTAATACAGGTGTAAAGAATTTCGATTCTCTGGTTGACGTTTTTCGCCTCAACTCAATATATTAAATTTATCCATGCCGGTTTTGATTCTCGCAAGTTGCATTAGTAAAAAACACATTAGAGGCTTATATAATACATAAATTTGCTTTGTGGTTTAAGTTTTCCCTTTTCAAAATATTATATTTGACAATTTCGATATATCTCTAAATTATTAAGATTGTAGTAATTTATATAAAACTCAAAAAAAGAATTCCTAATCGAACAGCTATTAATTAGCAAGAAAAAACGTTACTTTCGGTTGCACCAAAGCTATAACTGCTGTAGCTGGCGGAACAGATAGACGATTCGACATTCTGCACAATGAATGACGAAGCCCCCACCAGAATTATGGGCACCTGTAATAGCTCGCCAGATATTACCATCGCTAGCGGTGGTCTGATAAATAGTATAACCTGGCGACCTATGCTAACTCTTGCATCAGACCATCTGCCCATAATTATCTCGATCGAGAAACCTCCTGACTTTATTTCTGTGGATAACCGCACCTATGTTAACTTTAACAAAGCTAACTGGGTCGGCTTCACAGAATTTACAGAGAGCACCTTCAACGCACTATCCATTCCTACGGACGTCATCGTTGGCGAGCGTCAATTCCGCAAGGTGATCGCTGCTGCTACAGCTCGCTTCATACCGGCTGGAAGAATAGCGGAACTCCGCCCTAATTTCCCAGCCGAAGCAGCTGTATTAGCAAATGAGCGCGACACCTTACGCCATGCCGATCCCTGTGATCCCCGAATAAGGGATCTCAATTTGGAGATTCGGCAAATGGTAAACCATCATAAGCGGACAAAATGGATAGAGCACCTGAAGTCCTGCAACCTCTCCACCGGTGTGAGTAAGCTTTGGACTACTGTCAAGGCCCTGTCAAATCCGAGGAGACATGACGATCGGGTTGAAATCCAATTCGATGGCCATGCCTCCTCGGACCCGAAGAAGTGCGCGAGCTACTTTAGCCGGCAGTTTATACTGCACCCTTCGACCGACAAGGCCAAACGATGTGTTACCCGACGGTTGCGCAAAATGCCAAAAGACTGCGCACCACTTACTTTCACCGATGAGGAGGTTCAGAGTGTCATCAAAAAGGCGAAATCGTCTAAATCCATCGGCCCTGACGGAATAAACATGCTGATGTTAAAACATCTAGGCCCAACGGGAGTAAACTACCTCACCAAGGTCCTCAACCTGTCGATATCCACTCTTCAAATACCCGATGTGTGGAAAGTCGGAAGAGTGGTCCCACTACTGAAACCTGGGAAACCCGCCAACAAAGGGGAGTCTTATCGCCCGATAACTCTCCTTTCCCCAGTAGTGAAGACACTTGAGGCCTTGTTACTCCCGTCATTCACCCACCACCTGAGCCCAGCAGACCATCAGCATGGTTTCCGTAAAGTGCACAGTACCACCACAGCACTTAGCGTCATAAACGCCCAGATAGTTCATGGCCTGAACCAGAAGCCACCCTGCGAGAGGACGATCCTCGTAGCGTTGGACTTGTCAAAAGCTTTTGACACAGTCAATCACGCAACGCTACTTGAGGACCTGGAACAATCAACGCTCCCTCCAGGGCTGAAGCGGTGGACCATGAACTACCTGAGCGGTCGACACTCATCCGTACTATTTCGAGGTCAAAACTCCAAACTCAGGAAAATTAAACAGGGGGTTCCGCAGGGCGGTGTCCTCTCCCCGCTACTGTTTAATTTCTACATTTCGAAACTCCCCCAGCCACCAGCGGGAATTTCAATGACCTCGTACGCAGATGACTGTACGATATTGACGTCGGGCAATGGAATCGATGGCATGTGTTCAAAAGTAAACGGCTACCTCTCCGATCTTTCTCGCTTCTTTTCTGCAAGGAACTTAACACTCTCCCCCACTAAATCCACAGCGACCATCTTCACCAATTGGACGAAGGAGTACAGACTGGACCTGAACATTTCAGTCGATGGCACAAAAATTCCGACAGTAAATAACCCTAAAATTTTAGGCGTCACTTTGGACAGTCTGTGCTCTTTCACTCCTCACACGACCGCGATAACTGCCAAAGTACAGAGCCGCAACAAAATCCTCAAGTCGCTTGCCGGCAGCTCATGGGGAAAGGACAAAGAAACGTTGTTGGCAACATACAAGGCAATCGGCCGGCCGGTCCTCAATTATGCAGCCGCAATATGGTCGCCTGGATGTAGTGACACGCAGAATAAGAAGCTTCAGACTTGTCAGAACACTGCACTCCGGACTATCACGGGGTGCCTCTTGATGTCCCCAATCGAACACCTACATAGCGAGGCCCGTATGCTTCCGGTTAAGGAACATAACGAGCTCCTCTCCAAGCAGTTTCTGCTGGGATGTTTTCGCAGAAACCACCCCTGCAGACGCCTGCTTGCAGCGGAGCAGCCTCCTAGGAACATCAAGAGGTCCTTCCTTGACTACGTCGACGACATCAGACAGCACGTCGACCAGACTTCGGACGCAACTAACTTCAGACAAGCACTGACCGCCATTCACAGTGGAGCCATTAACACCTTCACCGACTCCCTTTCAGTGAATGGCGTAATACGAGTCAAACCACCACCCATTGCAGACACAGAGCTCGAGTTGCCTCGCGAATCTAGAGTGACCCTCGCGCAACTTCGTTCTGGATACTGTAGCAGGTTAAACTCCTACCTATCCAGAATAGACCCTGACATACTAAACACATGTCCAGCATGCAATGAGTCTCCGCATGACACTAACCACCTCTTTGCATGCCCTACAAACCCCACTCATCTAACACCCCTTTCCCTATGGTCCGACCCCGTCGAAACAGCTCGTTTCCTGGGCCTTCTTCCGTTAGATGACCTCGACGACAACGAATCTAGAATTTATCACCCAAACGGGGATTAGATAATCGTTATAACAACAACAACAACACTAATCCATGCCAAATTTCTTGAAGATTTTTCGGATGAAAAAGCTTTCCATACAAGCGCTTGATTCCAATCGCTCAGGTTGTATGGCAGCTGCATGCTACAATGGTTCGATATCTGCCGTTTCAACAAATGAGTAGCTCCTTGGTGAGAAAAGTACGGATGCAAAATTTCAGATCGATATCTTAAAAACTGAGAGATTAGTTCGCATATATACAGACAGACCGACGGATATACGGACATTGCTAAATCGACTCATCTATATGTATACATTAGATGATCTCTGACGTTTAATTTTGTGTGTTACAAACATTGTGGCAAACTTAATATAGTTTGACAGGGTATAAAAAGTTATTACAAGTATAGGAACATAATGAATAACCTGAAATGACTAAGACCAATATAATTGCCAATCGATGCTGTCACTTTCTTTGTATTTTGGTTTGTTTACGTAAATAATTCCGGTATTTTGTAGCTATTCTGATATTCGGCGGAGACGAATTCAACAATTCCAAGATCATAAAATTGGTCCATTCGCTTTTGAGTTATGAATGCTGTAATGCAACTGACTTTGTTTGGCTTTGTTTTATTTATATACATACATATAGGTATATACATAATATATAATTATAGCTAACTTCGATTCTGTTATAAATTATGGAAATATCTATATATTACAAATGTCTCAACAATGAAATCTCTTTTGAAGCTTATTTCGCTAAAGGTAAGGATAATGTGTTACTTGCTGACTGGTCAGACGCCGCTGCTTTGGATTATCCCACCTCCCGTAAAGCCATTGGACAGGTGGCGAAGCATTTTGCCAAACAATTGAAAGAATTTCTTGAGTAAGTAACAGTTCTTTTATGTTCGGTGTAAGTGTATGATTCATAAGTTGTAGATATAGTTTGAAGCACAAACGTCAGAGATCGAAGGATTTCTTTTTATTATTTAGGAGTATTAAGCCCCTTAAACTTTAATATTAAAATCTTTTATAGATTAATAAATATATATATGCATATGTTAATAACATACAGTTTTACTTCGTTATGGCTGAGAAGTTTTAACGGCAAAGAGTTTTTCCTTTAACTGCAAACTTCCAAACTTTTTTTTTTAGATATGTACATATATTAAAATTGGCAATCTGTAACATACTTGATGTACAGTGAAAAAATGTTCAACCCTAATGATTCCTATATTCTTTTTCTTGGTTAGCAAGCATGAGATCAATTCGGCTGACGTTCACATCATCGGCCATAGTTTAGGTGCTCACATTGCTGGCAATATTGGAGACTTTTTCAATGGCAGCCTTGGTCGTGTGACCGGTTTGGATCCAGCCCTACCACTCTTTACTGCACTCTCCAGCGACAGTTTACATGCCACAGCGGCAAAATTCGTCGATATCATACATACTGATTTTCCCGTATTTGGTGACGGAACTCCGCGTGGTGATGTCGATTTCTATCCGAATTTCGGCACTGCACCACAGCCTGGCTGCGCTGACATGGATGTACTCTTGATCGCTAAACAATTGTTATTTGAACAGTGTAAGTACACACATACACTTGCACAAAAGCAAGTCATTTAAATACATATGTATGTCATATTATGTACGGCTATTTAATCCCTTTGAAACATAAAGGCTTGTTTGCTCATTTGTTTTCGTACGAGTATACTAAATCATTTATAGGTCTGAAAGTCTCGAAATTGTAAAAAGCTCAGCAGCCTGTAGAAGGGCTAAATACTTGTAGTGTTTCCTAGAGAAAATCTCTATTTGTCCTTGGCTTTCAAAAATAAATTTATGAACTTTAAATAAAGGGCAATATTTTTTTCTTCAAATTTGAAAAAAAGGTCTCGAACCCGAAGAGTATATTTTTATGTTTGTATAATACAGTAAGGCCAAGTATTTACCTTTATTATAAAGATCAGGGCTTGGCATTTTCATTATGTGTTCAAAATGATTTCGGGCAAATAACCGTCGAGTGAAGTCTTGTTAGAACCAAAGGTCGTCCACATCAACACTCCTTAGTTCCGACACAGCAAGTTATTCATCTTGGCTCTATAGTGTTCTCCAATGACTGTAACATTATGGTCGGCTTCATTTTTGAAGAAATATGGACCAATGATTGACTCTCCCCACAAACCATATCAAACGTAATTTTTTGGGGAAGTAACGCCGTCTCAACAATGACTCGTGGGTTATCATCACTCCAAATGCGACAATTTGGTTTATTAACGTAAGTGAGTTTTTGGCATCGCGCGAGCCGAACCATTATTTTGACAATAAATGTGCATGATTTGCAAACGTTGTTCCGGAGTAAGTCTACAGAATATTGCCTCATTGAAAATCATCTGTCTAAGAAAACACACCATATATGCTATCCTGAATATGAGATGAAATATTAAAAATGCCGTTACATGCACGAACTAATTTTATATTTCGAATAAAGATTTGAAGTGTTAGAATTTTTTCAGTAACACTGTACCTAAATATGTTTGTATAAGTAAACGCTTTTGTACCCCACAGATAGCTGTAGCCACAATCGTGCCGTATTCCTCTACGCCGAATCTATTGGACAACCGAAGAGTTTCCCCGCGATCTCCTGTACTTTGAATGGCATAAAAATGTTAAATGTGAACAATTGTCGCAAGAAAGTGAAAACTGTTGCCTTAAGAGGAGAAATGGACGAGAGTGAGGTGGTTTTTATGGGCGAAGAGGTATCGAGAAGGTGAGAGTGACTTCTGAACCTTTATACAAAAGCTACAAATATATTATATTAAAATTGCTAATTATTTTTTAACGCAATAGTGCATCCGGTTTCTATTATCTGCCAACGTATGATGCACCACCCTATGGGATGGGTCTAAATACAAAATTCTAACTGCAGATGTCGCCAGCGTACTTTGTGTGTGCCTTTGCTAAATAAGATATCTAAGTGTGTAATTCAGTTTTGCATTTTACAGAATGACTCAGATAATCGCTATTTAAAAGACGCAAATACAATTATTTAAAATGTTGATCTATTTCGTAGTTACCCTGTACGAAATGTGCAATACAGTAATGGCGTTTTGCCAGTAGTAAACAACACGAACAAGAATTTGAGGTATATGTAGCTTTGTACTAAATTTAAGTATTAAGAGTAATGGTTTATTTAAACAAATATTAGCATTTATTAACGCGACAGTAATGTCGATATGTATAAGCAGAGATTTATTCTAAGAATGTTGTAAGAATATTTAATTAGCGAAGGTATTGTATACATTAAAAAAATAATATTATTTGATAATTATTAAAAAACAGGTTTCCAGTAAAATATAGCAAATCCTTGTATTACTGGTTTCATTTATATTATTGCGAAGTTTAATTTTTGAGATTATTGTAAAAAAGCGACCAAGTTAACAAATCAACTTATTAAAAAACCATTGCTAAATAAGATGGTATCAAATGTCAGCACTCTCGTCATGAAGAGCATATAAGGAATTTTGTAAAAAACTTGGAGTTGGATATTTTTGGTTGCAGTTTATTTTACAGAACTGAGTGGTATTGTTTGGTACAAGACTTAACATGCTAATTGTTACATTCTCACCTTGTTAAATTTACGAGATATTTATATGGTCCATCCAAGTTGATATCATTCATATTAAATCATCATTATGCGAAAGAAAGATTTTGTGTATTTTGAAAACGTCAATATGGGCAAAATTTGAGGGTTGTCCTTCCAGGTTTATACCTCACTCACCCTCGGTAATGGGTAGGTCACATTTAGGCAAATGCAAGAGGTATGCATAGTAAACTAACTGTGGTTCTTGGTATAAAAACACAATTAAGCCAAGTCGGTAGATGGAGAATTTCTCCATTTTTTGGCAAAGTATGATTTTATTACTCAACTTTGTTATAATCGGTATACAGCGATACATCAGTTCTAGTAATCTACCAACTTTTCTATATCTACCACTCTTGCTACAAAGTACAATAGGTCTCAGTGATGGTAATTACATTTACATGATTGTCGCACGGCTTCTATTGAATTTTAAGAACGGAAAAAAGTTGCTGCGGACTAAATCCGGAGAATTTGCTGATTGTGGCGATAATTCAAAGCCCGTTTTGGTTATTTTGTGGCTTCATTGGTATTCTTACGCATCAGAACTTTCTTCTTTAAATAGAGCGAGATAATTCATGAAACCTATTCTAAGCGCACCCTAAAATCTAAATGTCATTACTTTGCCTGTTATCTTTAACGTTTGCCGCGGTCCGAATTCGGTTTATCGCATGTACATGCTTCACTCGAATAATTATATATTGGATTTCAGAATGAAATTATGGAGCTATGCATGGATGGATTAATAAATATTTAGATTAAAAACTAAAACTTTAGAAATATTGGGATTTATTACTCAACATAATCTCCTCTTAGCTCGACACACAAATACGTTTTCTGGAGGTCTACAAAATATGCAAAATCTTGAGCATATGATGGAAGGGGCAACAGTTTCCAGCTGTAAAGTTACATTACTGTTACCCTTTTAGTCCGGAGTGAGCAAACACGGCACCCATCGCTCTACCGCTGCCACCTGATAATCTAACTTCAATCGGTGGTCTTCCAATACGAGATCGTGGCTTTCATCACGTGATTCTCGAAACTTCTTAAATCCACATTTGAGGAGGTCATCGATTTCATTACGAAATTTTAAAAATAATAATTACCGACCGATTAGTCGCCGTCTACGAGAGTGTACTGTTTAGTAGAAAATTTCTTTTGCGATAGTAGCAGCATCGAGCAGTGAAGCCAAATGATTATCAGCCTACATGTAGCGGATGTTTTTTCTTGAGTCGTGATCTTATATACCCATCTCATAAAAAAGATTCGATCATCTGATTCAATCGATTTAAACTGTGTGCGTAAACCGAGTCTATAAAATTTGTTTATTTTCTAGATGTGTTTGGCAGCTGTTAGTTTACGATGCGACAAGTTTGTCTGCCGATTTAATCTATTTTATCAGGAACACAAGTATTTGAGTGGCACAAAGCATTTCGTAACGGTCATGAAATCATCGAAAAATTGTATCATATGGATTTGTCCATCTACATCTGTTAATGACGATAACATGAAAAAGTTAAAAAAACAGAGCTTGAAAATCGTCTTGTTGGCATCAGAGAGATAGCATTGGATCTCAACATTTCTTTTGGATTGACACTGCACTATAAACGACGTCAAGTAAAGATCGCAAAAGATGTGCTTGATCTCGTAGCTGAGGACACTACATACATCCAACGCATCAATACTGGTGACGAGATATGGGTTTATGAAAATGATATAATAATAAGTGCCTATTTTGAAGGCGATAAAGATTTGTATGTTGTGTTTATATACCCTGAACAGGGTATACCAAGTTTGTTACGAAGTTTGTAATACCTAGAAAGTAACGTCGGAGGCCCTATAAAATATATGCCATATATTATATAAATGATCTGTGTGACGAGCTAATTCGATTTAACCTTGTTCTTCTGTCTGTATATTCGCGATTTGAGATATCGATCTGAAATTTTGCGGATTTGTCGGAACCCTCGATATCGGACCACTACTGCATATAGCTGCCATACAAATCGAATGATCAAAACTAAGTTCTTGTAAGAAAAACTCTTATATTTAAAGATATGTACCATATATCTTCACGAAATTTATCATTGGATTATTGGCTAAGGCAATGATACAATCTACAAAGAAATTGTTTAGATCGAACCGCTATAGCATATAGTTGCCTTACAAACTGAACGATCAAAATCAAGTTCTTGTACGGACATATTTTTTAAAGCTACGATGCAAGTTAAGTTTTAGCTAAGTTTTAGTCAAATTAGAAAATATTATGTCTAACAGCTTCCAGATGGAAATAAATATGGAAGAAATGGGTTTCTACTTCTTCCCAGCCATTATGAAGACACATTACTATATCGGTCGGAGTAAGTTGATATGTAAATTTTACAATTCACTTCGCAAAACTTTTCGAGTGCTTTCGATTCGCTGCCTAACTGACAGTGCTTTAACAGCAATATACAAGTATAAATAGCCAAATCATAGTGTTTTAATGGTCATTTATTTGAATTTATAATTTCAACTTTTAACATTAAAAAATTAACAAGAATCAAAAAACATATAATATTTAACGCATTTTATTTACAATACAAAATTTTTATCTGCATTCGCTAACAAATAGTGACAGATTACTCAGTGATTAAGTGGACTGAAAATGCTATTTTAACAGCTTGATAACAAGGTCAATCCAAGACCTAATGGCCCACTCAATTTGTTGACTCGGAGTTTTACATTCATGTTTGTATGTATTTATATAAGTTAAGCTAGTAAAGCCATGTCGTATTTAATATAAATTCAAAAAATATGACATGCTAATGTATGTATGTTTGCTTCTCAACTAAATATCAAGAGGATTATCAAAACATATTGATTGTAAAATTTACGCCTTAAACTTATCGATCACTTTTAACACGAGTAATTTAACATATTTCATTTAAACTCTTAAACGCGAAATTTAATGTAACTTTATTACTTTTGTTAAATATAGGTATAACTACTTGTTAAAGCCATTCATTGAGTTATTATTGATTCTCATATCTTTATAAAGTTTTTACTTATATTTGGATATCGGTTATATATATATTATATTTTAATATGCATTTATAGATATTTATTGTTGTTTGTGTATAAGTAGTTAGGTATGTATATGTATGTATGTATATTGATAGTAAATTTATTTAGATAATTTAGTTTAGTTTGGCATGAAACCACATTTAGAAGTGAGTGGAAGTTAAAATGTATATATGTAGTACACGTTTATATTCATAAATAAGTATATTGCAGTATATGTACAAACATGTACGAGTATGTAATAGGTAAGTATTGGTGGGTTTTAGATATGATAATTTTTCTTTATTTTGTATGTGTTGCCTTTTACAAGCATAGTAATATTTGTGTGCTTTCAATATTCTTAAATTGAAGCTTTTTTGTTGGAACAGTAATGGTGTGTTTGTGGTGACCTTAAGTCCTTTTAGCAAAGTTAATTTTATTGTTGCTAAAGTTTTATGTGTGTATTTTCATATAAATTTCAAACCTTTATACTTTTCTCTTTTGATATTTGTTCTATATATTTCATTTTGATTATTGTTTGACGACAAAGCTTAGCTTTTTATAGATTTGCAAATGCTTAGTTGCAGGGATTTAAAGCTGTTAAAATATACTCATGAATTTGTGTTGGAAACATGTATTAAATCTATATAAATACATTTGTATTGTCGTTAAAAAAAAAATTGGTAAAAAAATATTATTTTTTCAAATAGATTGTTTAATTTTTCAGCGTTGAGCATTAGGGTGTAGAGGCATTGTAAACAGATAGGAAATATTTACGATATGGAATTATTTATTAATCCTTCGAATCAAGATATAGTTTACTAAGTTCTGGTCCAAGGAGAACCTAAGGTATTCACATATCTTGGCTAACTTCTCACAAATCTTAATACATTCTTAAAACAAAAGCTTCTTATTATTATTATATATTGAATAGTATTTAGTGTTGCTATAAATTCTGTTACAAAGTTTACAATGTGGTCTATTCCAAGTATTCAACGTGTTCACCATCCAGCTGCTGTAATGGTTTTGTGTCTCCTTGAAAGGCGCTACAGCTCTTCACTTCTGTGAAGAAGGGGTTATGCCTGGGGCAAACGTCTACCAGCAGGAGGTATTAAAAGGCGTAGTAAAACACTTAAGCAATATTTTCTTCCTTGGAGAGCATTGGACCTTCCAGCTAGATTCTGGTTCCATACACAAGGCAAAAACAACCCAACAGTAGCTTAAAAGCAATATTCCTGGTTTCATAGCTGCAGATGGTTGATAGTTTTGTAGTCCAGATTTGAATCCATTAGACTACAGTTTGTGGCAGAGTTGAAGAACATTGCTTGTCAAATCATGACGTGGTAAGAGATATCTCTAGAACTGTTCCCAATTGAACTAAAGAATTTTACATCTGATGTGGCAAATTATTATTTATACGAAAGTAGCACCCGAGGATTAATATTGGCGACAGGTATATAGAATTTTAACTTATCGTTAGTGTGTAACTTGTAACTGCTAGAAAAGTCAAAAAACATTTATATACAATACTTTAATAAGTTTAAAAAATTTAGAAATATTTATATTTTTATTAAATATAAATGCTTCAATTTTAGAGTATGTTTTATCCACGAGAAAATAGTTTTGGAATGTTTATAGTAATAATTTTCTATAGAATATTCATATTTATTAATGTTAAAAAATCAATAAGGTGTTCATTCACATGTTAGGTATTATTATTTGAAGTTGATAGTAATATAGTGTAAAGTAGGTATAAATTATTTTTCATATAATAGGTGTTTTTGTATGTATGCATATTTTTTTAAAATATTTATTTAAATGCTATAGGTTTAATAAAATTACTACTATTTAATATAATAAAAATATTATTTTATTATTATTATTTTTAGAAGAAACAAACTTTAAGATGTACTACTTCACTGATAAATTCAACGTATTCTCAAAATCGTTCAAATGTCATCATTTGTATAAATATGTATGTACCTGTATTTAATACATTTTTACTTAAGCATACGCATTTTTTTATTAATATAACTGTAATTTATAAATTTATGCATTTTATATTATTTATGAACTAATGTGCATGGGTTTAACTAGAACGCTCTATGATTGTATCACATACTGAAATCATCGCTCCTTCATAGGTTTACTCGTATATGTATAATATTACGATTATGTGTATAAAGATATTCCTAAGCAGTTTAACATTTACATCAAAGTGCAAATATTCCTACGCGCTACGCCCGCTCCATCGCCCTCGTTCATAGCCATCGTTTTGGAGCGCATCAAATTCAGATCGGTTCGTATGCTGGGGCGCCGCGCGTTCGGTGCTACCACTCCGCAGGCATCACTGAAACGTCGCTTAATCGAAAGCGCATTCTTCTTCGACCCGCCAACAGTTGTGTGTGGCGGCAAGGGTGATGGTGCTCCGAATACGGATACAACGCGTCGATGGTGATTCGGTGCCATTTCCAATGGTAAATTCGAAACCATAAAAAGTGCATAAAATAGATCATCGATGCGGAAATTTTGTCGCGCCGAACATTCGATGAAGACGCAACAGTTGTCTTGACCGGCAATGTACCCCATTACCTCGTCTAGTTGAACTTTTCTGCAATAGAGAATGTTTACATTAGTTTGATGATCCGAAAACAATAGTGAAAACAAATAATATTATATAAACAAGCCCATATTGTTGTCTAAAAAGGAGTATACTCGCTTTGATTTGAGATTTGTATAAAGTAAAAATTATAATATATTTGGAGAGTTTGAAAATAAATAAAACAAAACCATTTAATAAATTTATAAAGATAACTCATTGAATTCTCACGATTGCTTTGCGATCCCTTCAACAAAAAGAAATAAAATTATACAATTGTAGGTTGAAACCCATCGGCAACGAAAGATACAATAGCAAACATCCTATAAATCGTCCTATGATTTTTTTTGTTTTCAAAAGTTTTTCATCCTGGTCTGTTAGTAATCTTTAATTCTCAAAAAATTCAATAGGAAGTGGGATACTGAGTGGCGAGTATTCCAATATATTTTTTATCACTTAATATATATCTAGTAGTTTATACTCACTTGGGTTCAAGATCACATTTGTTTCCAGCAATAACCATGGGTATTTTCGGCAAACTTTTCTTCTTCATACCGGAACCGGGATTAAGCGCCGCCCATTTAGTTTCAAGTATGTTTTCTCGTAATCGCACTACTTCCTCAAAAGATTCTCGCGAGTCCATACTGAAGACTAATATGAAAATATCACCTAAAATTAAAAATAAGTAAAAATAAGGGTATACTAATAAAAATGATTAGTACTAGGTGAATATCTGGAATGTATGTACTTATTTCCTATCTTGTTGAATTTTGTATGTTATGTTGAATTTTAAGTATAAATAATTATAAATTAACCCAAAATGGTTGTGTGAACTAAGAAGTTATCCTTAGGAAAATATGTATTAATCGTTAAATTATTAATATTCATCAACGATTGCAGATGTGGCTTTTCGCTTCTTTACTGTCAAAGCGACCCTCGTCATTTCACAATATTTAATTTATCAAATTCTTCCAGTTTTGATAAATAGAAACACACACATATATAAGTATATATGCTTACCAAAATTTCAACTAACAAGTAAGGAAGGGCTAAGTTCGTGTGTAAACGAACATTTCATACTCTTGCAACTAGCAAGGATTAAAGCCGGGGAAATACTTTAGGTGCTAGCTAAAGTTTATTTTGAAAATCTTGCGAAAGAATTCGACCATTAATTTTTCACGAAATCGTGATTGGATTGCAATCAAAATTGATATTTAGTTATATTATAGGTCATAGACTAAACTAGTTTTATACCTCTATGTTACTTCTTGTCATGCTACAGGCAATATAAAGTCAGCCGGACGTTCGAAAATCTTTCTACCATATTAGGTATGTATATGGGGACTAAGGGAATTATTGACCCGATTAACCTAAATTTTTTCATACAGATATACTATTATCAGGAAAAATTTCTTTCTAAATCTCAATAATATATCTCACACATTGACCGATATTTTCGGTAGAAAGTCAGCTATAGGAACTGGGGTCCACATATTCTATATCCTCTGGCTTGAAATGATTTTGTGCGATTTGTACAATTTTTGCTCTTAAGGTGGCATACCTTAAAGGCAATATTCGTGCAAATTTTTATCCCAATATATTTATTGGTGCTTGATTTGTATAAAGTTGAAAGTGAAAAAATCAGCTGAAATTTAAACTTGTGTTAAATGGGAAGTAGGCGTGGTTTTGTCTCATTTCTCCCATTTTCGTACCATTATTTAGAGTATCAAGATAAATTTACTGAATTTGGTTGAAATCGGTCCACTAGCTCCCGATATATGAGTTTTCCTAAATCTAGGCGGTACCACGCCTATTGTCCGAATTTGACTCGTCTCCTACAAAGCCCTCTCATCCATCCATACCATCACGGTTTTAAAACTTATATCTCTGTCGCATTTGTTTATAGATCTTTCGTACTTTTAATAGTTTTTAACAAAACCCCATTTTCACAGAGTGGGTAGAGAATATAAGAGAGAATAAAAATATTTGCTCTGAACTTGTTGTCATACCTTTAATGTTTGGAGATTAATTATGGAGTTTTATAAGTTTTCGATTAATGATGTTTGTGGGTGTGGCAGTGGTCCGCTTCCGCCTATCTGCAATATCAACCTTACTTGTTTGCCAAGGAACATGTGTACCAAGTTTTATCAAGATGCCGAAATTTTTACTCAAGTTATCGCTTGCACCGACGGACAGACGGACGGACAGACAGACAGACAGTCGCTTGGAATTCAGCTCCTCTAATCATCTAGACCCTGTATAGGTTGGTTGAAAAGTTTCTGTGCTAGAAATGAAAAAATACTGTCTTTGGTACGAAATATATTGTTTTTTCAATATACAAGTAATCTCCCTTAACTTCAATACACTTATTTCAATGATCCTCCAATAATTTTATACCATCTTTATAATGACTTTCCGGAAGCTCTGCAAAATAATTGCTTCTTCATTCGACGAAAAACGCTTTCCATGAAGGAATTGTTTTAGGTTTCTGAAGAAGTAATAGTCGCTGGGAGCCAAATCAGGTAAATACGGTGAATACTCAAGCAATTCGTACTTTAATTCGTTTAATTTTGTCATTGATAAAACTCCTTTATAAGCAGGTGCATTGTCGTGATGAAAAATGATTACTTTGTACAGCAAACCAGGTCTTTTCTCGCAAATTTTTTCATCCAGCTAATCCAAAAGGCTGCAATAATATTCCGAGTTGATTGTTTTACCTTTCTGCAGATAATCAATCAACAAAATCCCTTTTGATCATTGGGACTTCACCTGCTTTGGAGCTAAACAACCAGCTTCAGTCCACTGTGAACGTTCTTGATTCAATTAAGGATCATGGTGGTAGTCTATCCATTGTTATGAAATTACGCAAGAAATCGGTTTTATTTTTATAAAAACATTTGAAATTATGCTGAGAAATTTGTTTTCGATCCAGTTTTTGTTGAATTGTTAACGTGTTCGGCACTAACTTTTCAAACAACTTTCTCATATGTAATTCTCCATGTAAAATATGAAGTACTCGTTCGTCTGAGATGCCTATAAATTTAGCAGCCCTTAACTTCTAACGATTGTTCATAAATTTTCTTTGCTTTTGAACCTTTCAAAACAAAGAATCTAATCAGTGCGCGATATTAAATTTTTTCCAAATTAAAAAATACTCTGACACCAACTTCAAATTACTTATAAGCAAAGAAATAATTGACAGACCGACCAGTAACTTTGCATGTGTTCTCACGACAGATGTACCAACTTAAAAAAATTTGGAGCTAGTAGTGCTTTTTCTTAGTGAGAACTGCTCACATTTCAACCATATACATATATACATATAAATATAACTCCATATCTCGATTAGATTTATGTGATACAAACAACCTTTAATCGAACAAAACTTTTATACACTGTAGCAACATGTTGCAAGAGTATAAAAACTTTCCTTGATGCGAGTCCCAGTCATAAATTTTATTTGAACTGCAGCTTGTCTGTTTGAACACAAGAAAACAGTTTTCTCTAGGGTACGGAGAGCTGTAATAGCGTTTAACACATTTTTTTAGCACATTTATTCTTTGACTTCATAATGCTACTCGTACATATAGTAAGAGCAGACTATGGTTTGTCTGAGATCATATTTGGATCACACATTGATTATATAAATTCAAATATTTAGACCAAAAATTCCAAAGGATGGCTGAAATATATACCATACACATATTTACTGTATGTTTATATGTATTGAGAAATACCTAGCTCTAATACTATACCGCGATGACGGTTGTAACCCGAAAAACCTAATTTCGTCTGATTTACCCTTTCGATGCATTTTTTGTTTGCAAAGTATCCTATGCACTTTCTAATAAGAGGATAGAAACATGTGAACAAAGTTCTTGATCAGCATAAGAGCGTAACAAAATGGCTTCAGTGACGCCAATTTAGCAATAGTACAATTGGTTTAAATGTGTATCACTGTATAGAGTAAAAAGTTTCATAAGAAAATTTGCTGTCAATTTCAATTGATGTTCAGTGCGCCGTCAGTTTGATACGTAAAGTTGTCAGTGCTATAAAAATGAAAATACAACCGCATTAATTTGTTTGACAGCCATAAATTGAAAATTGGTATATTAAAAACCGCACATAATGAAAAAGCAACTCGAATGGTAAACATTTTTTTTATATATAATATATAACATATAAGCGTTCTAAAACCCTTGGATGTTTTAACTTCCGACCAATAGCACATATTATCTTTGGATAATAATTACACTATTATAATTACTAGAATACTTCCTGGTAGCTTCACAATCCTATTCATTTGTATTTCATTAATTATTTTGATATAATTAAGGACCAAGTGGTGATAGGTACCCTCGAACTTGCGAATTTCAAGGGGACAAAAATAAACTTCGTTTCAAAGAAAACGCATAATATGGATTTTCCTAGTGATGCTATTTTATTTATTGAATTTTATTATCAAATGCTTAATTAAACGACTTTAAGGTCTGATTGAAAGGAAAAACAAGTAAAATCGTTTACTTCGGTTGCACCGAAGCTATAATACCCTTCACAAGTCACAAATACAAAGGTTCCTTACAGTACTTGATTCCGATCGTTCAGTTTGTATGGCAGCTATATGCAAATGAACAGTTTCTTAGTGAGGAAAGGACAGGTGCAAAATTTCAGATCAATAGCTTAAAAATTGAGAGACTAGTTTGTTTATTGACAGACGGACACGGCAGAATCAACTCTGCTCATCATGATGATCATTTGTGTATATATTTTATAGAGTCTCCAACGTTTCTTTCTGAGTGTTACAAACTTCGTGCCAAGTTAATATACCCTGTTCAGGGTATAATGAATGGAAATCACTATATCGGATATAGGGCATGTTTTAAAAAGATAACTCACACATAGATCGATATAACTGGTATAAAGTCTGTTGGAATGATGAAATTCTGCATATATATAATATTGGATCGGTTATCATCCGATTTCACTTATTTTCACATTATCTTAAGAAGGAGTGAAAATATTCGTTTTCTAAATTTGGGCTAAAACTAAAAGCTTTATTGGTTTTGAAGATATATACATAAAACTTATTAGGTGGCGGGGCCACGACCACTTTTTCAAGATTTTCAAATCACAGGTGCCCTTCCTTAATTAGATCCGTTGTGATAAATTTGAGTTCGGGATCTGAATTTACGGCTCAGTTATAGAACTGTGGACGTTTTCGATTAACGGCGTTTGTGGGCGTGGCAGTGGTACGATTACGTCCGTCTACGAACTCGTCCTTGCTTTTTTGCCAAGGTATATGTAAGTCTCATCAAGATGGCTTAATTTGACAGACATCCGGATTTCAACTCGTCTCGTTATCCTGATCATTTATATATATACATATATCTATCTCGTTTAGTTTTAGGAGATACAAACAACTGTTAGGTGAACAAAACTATTATACTCTGTAGCAATATGTTGCTATAGTTTTAAAATTGTTCGGTTAGCTTGACAATATTTGTAGTTCCAATAAAAGTACAATTTGGCAGCTTATAGAAATGAACATTTTTATTTGATGTCCCTTAGCGAAACTACGTGCGTTTGAATGGCAAATCTCTTTGGCCCAACTGGCTTTTCTGTCAAGCTCAATGTTTGTTGACCCTGTAGGAAAGTCAACTAGTTATAGAAGATTTATATGTACATAACTAAGTACTTGTAAAATATTTTATTAGTAGTATTAAGAATGAACTCAACTAATGAACTTACTGTTTCTTTCTGAATCAAGCAACTTATATTATACATCTATTCTTTTTAAGAGAAGTGAGTTGTATGAAGCCATTTATTTCAATAAAAGAAAATATAGCTTTATAATTTGTAGCAATCTTCATTTCGCGTCAAGAAGTTGTGGTTATATTATAAACTCGAGACTGGGATAAATGAAATAAAGTAAAAATGTTTTTTTTTAACAGGTTATACTCGTATATTGCTGCAAAACATCGTCCATCTTGTCGGTTGGTATTATATCGTACTTCGTGGATACTGGTGATTGCTGAGAGTGAGGTTGATTTAAAATAGATACGCTAGGTATGCGAATGAAGCTAATCACCTAATGCTGCTTTTAAACGATCTTTTTTACGGTTTGAAAATAATTTTGTTTTTTAAATTTTCTACATGATTTTATTCCATTTAGCACTGTTTAACATTTTTTGGGCAAATATTTTATTTGTCAGATTTAATACATACATATATTCATAGCACAAAGTTCTATGAATTCCCCTTTTTGTACATACAAGCAAGTTTGAAACGTGTTAATATTTTTTGAACTTTCAATACAATCAAAAGTGTATATATAATATCAAGATTTAATATAATATTATAACTAATATCAAGATTTAAAACCATCCGGTTTTTTTTATTCCGCAGATATTGGTGATGGTATGTGAGGTACCTAAATGGAACTCAGAGATCATCTTTCTGTTAATATAATAATATGTTGTAATGGCAAAAATAGATAAAAGCATATCAATACTACCCCTGTCTCTCATATACCTAATAAAAGATTTTCAAACTTTCAGTAAACTTTATACCATATATATCGATAATACGTTGGATATATTATAGTTTAATGCCGAAAATATGCGATATTAGACTACGAATGACGCAGCCCTCGTATATGATACATACACATACATATATAATATATTACATTTAATGTTTTTCGTTATTCTATTAAACCTAATACTAAATAGCTCGGTCAGTGTATGAGTGTATATATAATTGCTTTAATATATCCGAGCAATGTCAAAAGTCAGTGATATCAGCCCACATCTTTACTGCCCCCAATATAACCTATATAGTGATTTCCGACTTTCCACCTTTCTTTAAACCGTTTAGTTTGGTCAAAATGTGTGATATTTTAATAAATGTAAGTGGGCAAACTTTCTTAGAAATTATGTGGCTTAGCGCTGAATACGAGTGGAATTGGTTTAGGCCTTGAACTCATATCGTTAAAATAATCAATTCCGATCCTCTGGTTGACGTTTTGCCAATCAACGTCATTTATATCAAATGTAGTCATAAAACTAATTGAATCTGTGACCAATAATATAAGTTAATAAGATCAAACTTGATCTTGTACACCTGAAGGTATATCCCCGGATTTGACCTTTAAAAGTAGCAAGAGTATGAAATGTTCGGAACACACGAACTTAGCCCTTACTTACTTGTTTTATATAAAGCTCAACACCCTGGCGATTTGCAGTTTGTGAGCACATTTAGCAGCCAACGGAAATAGCGGCCTATGTGTTCTATGCATGTATACTAAGTTTCGACTTAGTTTTACTTTCGCAAATCTATGCTTTTATGTATGCGTATGCAGCTGGCGAATATTCAGTAAGCTTTGTAGGTCATAAAAATCCTAGAAAAATCAAATCGGCTTAATTTGTAAGCTTTGTTTATACTATTGGAGAAATACCGTCAAAATGGCGACCACGGGGAGTTAGGAAAATAAAACTGCAGTGACACTGTGGTTATTTGTTGATATTATAGCAGCAAAAGTTGAAATCATATGGAATAATGAAAAGAGAAAATTTATAGACATGAATATTAATTGTTCACAATTTCCCGTAATGACAATAAATAACAATTCGAAATCTATAGATCTATCAATGGCACACTTTACCTCTGGTAAATTTCAGAACATAATTAATGCTGTAATAAAATATTATAAAAGTAGTAAAACTTTTTATTATCTACAATTGAATATCTTAAACTTCTACCTCTATCCTTCTAAAAGTTTAGCGCACAAGGAATTATAGCAGTTTAAGTTAGAAGGGCAAACACATTGAAATTTACCGTTATATTTGAAAGGTATCCGAATCATTTTCATAATTTTTAGCTTTTAAGAACAAGTCGTTATTTAAAACGTGGAGATTGAGGTAACATTACTGAAAATGAAATGAATACTCGTGTTTTCGGTTTCAAATTTTTTTGTGTCTTCACAGACAATTCCAAAATTATTCATAAATTTAGTTTGATATTTAATTGTTTAATGAAAAAAACTCTCACCAAATTAAATTCTTAATGACTACTCAGCTAATATCAACAAATTTTTATTGTGATAAGCTAAATCATCGCATTTTTTGGTTTTTTAAATAAGCATAAGTCTTTTAATAAACCGATGGATCAGTTCGAGGTCATCTGCACAACTGTCAGGTCAGATGTGAATTGAAGAACCTTTTATACTAAAATTTGGATTATTAGGCAACCATAGAAACGAAATCGTTATGAGCATTTTATACGTCTTAAGCAATTTTATATCAATTGTATCTGAATTTTTACCGGTTGATATTTTAAGGGTTAATAAGTAAGGAAGGCCTAAGTTCGGGTGTAACCGAACATTTCATACTCTCGCAAGGTGAACTGATATAAAAGATGTTCGTATATATTTTAATTAAAAATAGGAAGTATTGCATTCAATTGATTACAATCACTGGTACGAAAAAGCACTGTTATTAGAAAATAATTCTTTCTAAATTTCATGGAGATTGCTTACATATTGTTCGATAGATGCGGTATAAAGTCAACCGGAAGTTCAAAAATATTTATATTAGCTACATGGGCAGAAACTTTAGGCCACTTTTGGCAGAAAGACATGCCATCACAAAAACATTTTCCCACAATTGCAATATTAAATCTCACAGATTAACCGATTTCGACAATTTTTAAACATAGAATTAAATACCTTAAGGGCACTTCTTGTGCAAAGTTTTATCTCGAAATATTCATTGGTGTTTGATTTGTATACTGAAAAGAGTAAGACTATATGGAAGTAGGCGTGGTTTTCACCAGATATGATAGGAGTGGTTGGGTAACCTCACATACCAAATTTGGTTGAAATTGGTCGGATAGCTCCGGAGATAAAGTATTTTACCTAAAGGTGCGCAGAGCACGCCCATTCTCCAATTTTTATACCTGCTCCTATTGAGCTCTTCCCCACCTTTGCTTGAGTTAGTTTCAGCGGCTTAGAAGATATGTACATTAAACTATTAAGAGGGTTAGGGCCATGCCCACTTTAAACAAAAACTACTTGTTACTGCGATCCCCTTGTTACTGCGATCCCCTGTATCAAATAACAGTTGTTTGTCTTAATTTATGTGTCTTAAAATTTCATTTAACGGCGTTTTGTGGACGTGGCAGTGGTTCGATTATGACCATATGCAACACCGACCTCTCTTATACGCCAAGAAACATATGTGGCAAAGTTCATCAAGATCGATTTTTACTCAAATTACCGCTTGTCCGACATGACATTCTAGAGGAAATAGGTGTCACTTTTGCCCGATTTTGACTATTTTGAACTGTACAAAAGTAGCTTCATGGGAATATTATATAATATAATATAATATAGTTTAGTTTGTGAATAAGTTTGACGTTTTACCCAAATGTAGGTATACCAGATCATCGTGCATAGTTAATATCATCCCTAGAATTCTTCGTTCAAGATTTATAGCTTTACTTATAATAAGACATAAAACTTGAGCCACTTTTACCGATGCACTACGTATCAATGAAATAGAGGGATAAACAGGGTCACTCACTATACTTAGCTAAGGTCTTTTAAGGTGTATCGAAAGCGTTAAGTGGAGAATATATGACACTCGTGAGGAACAAATTTCCTGAGTACAACAAGTTTTAGAGCTCATTATTGGCGATTAGGTCTTTTCATTCATAGCTTGTGTTATGAAGTGCTGAAAACGGCGACGAATTTATATTTGCACTAAAAATTTGTGCTTGCAAAAACTCGACTTTGGTCAATTTACATTTTTTTCTTCAAATAATTCTTGCTTTTCAAGTTATATGTGTGCAGTGCAGCCGTTGGTAAAACGATACTCCTATCTATCCTCTAAATTTGCGCCGAATTGCTTAAGCCAAACATATTGTTTTTGGGTGTGTGTACGCCCACAAAGCCAGGCTAACTTCCATTAAATGGTACTTCATTTGTCTGTATAAAAGTAATACGTGTGTCACCATGCTACCATTTTTACGGCAATGTTTCTTCACGCTCTTTGCTTCTTACAGCCCTGATTTTGCATGTACCTTTATGTGTCTGCTAGATGTCAAACAACATTTACTTATTCTTACCACCCGGCATACGGCTTTTATAGTTTTTATGTATTTGCACTTTCCAGCATTTATTGCCTTACGGTTTCAGACCGCATTCATAGATATACCTTTATAAAAGAACACTGTTTTTTAGCTCTATTGTGCTGTGATTTTCGTTGCCTTACTCAACTCTTGGCTCAAACCCAGACACTTTGTAACTGAAACTGCCAAAGCCCTACCTGCTGTGGGCAGCTTGTCATTCAGCTAGAATCGTTTATGCGATGCACTGATATCCTGACAATACTAGGTATTTTTAATCCGCGTTTTAATGCCGCTTTTGAAGTTAATTTAAGAGACGTGCATTATCTGAAGTTGATTTAGTTTTTAGTTATCTTGAAGACAACTTCATGTCATTCGATTGGCTTTGTATGTGTCTTTGTCTACTATATACATATAACTAATTGTGTATAAGTATGTATATGGTTACTTACCGGTCATGAATGATAGGCGTCGCATTGCTGGAAACGGATGATGACCCGACGTATCCAGTATATCCAGCTGATACACCTCATTGCGTATTCGATAAAGCTTTCGGTGGAAGTCTTCGATGGTTGGGGTGTATGCGTCGTCATAGCGATTACCCAAAAAACGTGCCACAATCGATGATTTTCCCACACGTGAGGATCTGACAATAAAATGACAATAAAAAAAAAAAAACGAAAATCAGACACATTCGAGAGAAAGAACATGAAAGCACGAAAGTGTAGTATGAAAGCGGCGAAGGAAAACCATTAAGTCAATTATGACTTCGTTCGCGTGGAATGGTAGTGGCATATAAAGATATAATAAACTTGTCAGCAGTTCATTACAAATATATATGTCTACATATTACGTTTTGAAGTAACTTCCGTAAATGAATTAATTAAGATGGATAAGAAAACGAATGTGACTGTACACATTTTCGTGACAATGCCGCGCAGTCTAACAAAATTATTAAAGTACTACGAAAATGGACAAATAGCACACAAAGTTACACGCATGATTCATAGTTTGTACGTATATATACTCTACACGTTTTCGTTGTCCACTTAAAGTTCATTTTTACATCGCACTCATTTCCGCCCTTCCTTTATTTCCCTTCAAGTACGTATGTACAATACATGCATATGGTATGTATATAAGTGCTCCTAAACGAAGTACTCAATTTAAATAGCGTGTGAGAAAGGAATATGCGATAGCGACTAATACCGGTTTATACAGTGTTGTTTCAGAAAATAGAAACGCTACATGCATTGTTTTAAATCTGCTCATAATAAACAGTAACATTTATTTTGTGACTGCGTGCTGAACTGCAATAATTTCTTATTAAATTATTGTTGCTAAATGAAAAGTATCTCCAATAATATATTAGAAATATGTGTATTGTTTTATGCTAACCCTAAAAAGCCTGATAAATCCGCTCCATTCAAAATTTTGATATGTATTATTATATAATTGTCGGTTACAAAAGCATTTGCTCTACGATTTTTTTTTAAATGATTATTTTGGATTTTATACGGTGTTTTATTTGTTGGACCTTTAAGAAGCCACTAGGTGCTCACTAGAGAAATACATTTTAAGTATATATTTTTACGAAAATCCATATTTTATTGAAATTTTATTAAAATTATTAGTAAGCTGATAAATGTTACATTAGTTAGTATGAAAATCTAAAAAATAATTGTGCTGTGACGATAAGAAAAGAGATATACCACATTTTATGCAATAAAATTGCGTTTCGCAGAAATCTGATATTCAATGTTACTTCCGGCTCTTTGTCTTTGCAACAGGGTTCCACTTCTCATCAAGACTTCGACAACTTCGCAAATGAATTCGTGCAGGTTCATGATAGGGTTGGTTTGCGCTGACGTATGACGTTTGTATGGGGTCCACGAATTAATAATTGCCACATCAAGCATATGGTAGATTTATCGGATGGTCCATTTGCGGCACCTGATGCGGTCAGGTCGTCCTAATGATGAATCCATAAGGTCCACACCTCCCATGTACTTGTTATATTCATGTATAACATTTGGACATGCGATTTTTTCGAAGCACTTTGCTCTTTTATTGAACTTCTCTACTTTTCAGGAGACAGTGGAAATATCAATCCCGTAAAACTAAGCTACATACTCGTCTGCATCATTGCATTCTGCATCCGATTTAGCATTCTCATTGTCAGTTTATAGCCAAAAATTCAGTTTCGTCGAACTGTTCCCAATGCGTAGATTCCTTGAGTGCGCAAATGAGCCAATAATGGGAGACTGGTGTAGTAGTAGAACTACAATATTAGATGACGCCCTTTAGTTCGCTTCATTTTCAAGTGGATAGTCTCCGTTCCCCGAGTGAATTTAAAAATTTTAACAAAAGCCTAAATCATTGCAGTACAAGAACAAAGAACCCCAAGGGTGGGGCTTGGCTACTGCTGCAAAAATTTTTTTGTTAAACAAATTTGTTCGTCAACGCAAAGCCGTTCTCTTTTTGGAACCTTATTGAAATTTTTTTTAACTGCTTCAACGTCCGCATTTTGAACAGGCGATCAACGGCATTTGCTGACAAGGGCTCATGCTATAATTGAGTTGTTGTAGTTGGTTGGTCCTCCTGCTGCTAAGTATTACGACAACGAGACATTTCGTTATTGTTGTTGATGTGCAAAAATTGTCGAATTGTCCCATGACGATTTCGTGCCATAGCTGCAATGAAAGAAGGACTACCGTAATTACCCCAATACACGCACGTTAGGATATTTGATTACTGATTTCGTTGCGCGCGGGAAAAAGGTGACATATTGTGGTCATCGTGCTCGATCTCCTAAAACCACTGCACTGTTGTCCTTGTTAGTACTTGTTTGTAAAATATTGTCATCACTAAGATTGTTGTGAACGGATATTTAACATTTCGAGTCTTCTTCAATAGAATCTTCACAATCTGATCCCAAATTACGTCGAATAGCCGAAATGGTGACATTTGAGTTAGCGTAGCGATGTTATCGTCGTCAAAAAAATCTTCCTAAATATTTAAACGATGAGTCCGCTGTGACATTCTATACAAAATTTGTTGATGTTCAAAACGTCAAGCAGAAGATCGCAATTGATGATATTGGAGATATGAGATTATATAGTATATGTAGTTTAGTATAATTTCTCATATATTCGGCATTAAACTATTGAAAATCAGATCAGTTAATTTTGTTAAGATAATTCAATAAGCAAATAAAATATATTTCCGATCAACTTATTTTTGGATCATTTGGAGTGAAAATTCCCTTATACAGGGTTTTCCAATAAGAGTGATATGATATGATCTATGTTTCAAAAAAACATACACAAAATAAACTGTCGATTCTGGTGCGAAGAAAATTCACAAATTATTCATGAACAACCATTACATTCACCTAAATTGACAGTTTGGTGTGGTTTTTGGTCTGCTGGAATCATCAGTCCGGTACTTCTTTCGAAATGAATCACTCGAAAATTGGATTCATAGATTCCTTCCTGCAAAAGAAGTCGTGAGGCCAATTGAATGATGTTATGTCTAGAACTTAGTAATATCCATTGTGCTTCACATTAAATAATAAAAAATATTTGAGTTTCCTAAACAACTAGTGTGTTTTTTTGAAACATAGATCATATCATATCACTCTTATTGGAAAACCCTGTATAAAATTAACTGATTCGATTTTCAATAGTTTAATGCCGAATATATGAAAAATTATACTATACTAAATATACTATATAATCTCATATCCCCAATATCATCAATTGCGATCTTCTGCTTGACGTTTTGCACATCAACTAATTTTGTTAAATATAGTAGCATATACTTGTATATAGTAAAATATAGTTATAAAACTAACTGAGTCTATAATCTATAATATAACCTAATAAGTTACCAAATTTGATTGTAATCCATGCACCATTTCGTCGAACCTTTTCGTTGCTTTCCTAATATAAAGTTTTGCCAACACCTGAAGGTATTTCCCGGCTTTGATCTTTGCAAGTTACAAGAATATGAACTGTTCGGTTACATCCGAACCTATCCCTTCCCTTCTTGTTTATTTTGCGTTAGTCCAATTTACAAAAATTTCGCCCTTCGTTAATCTATTTTATTATTTAGAATAGCGAGAGAGACTGCAAATATATATTATGACGACACTGAGCTTCTTATTTTACTTTTGCAAAATGTTGCTACAGAGTAACATAGAATAGTTTTGTTTATCTAACTGTTGTTTGTATCACCTAAAACTACTTGAGATAGGTATGGAGGTGATCAGGGTGACGAGATGAAATCTGGCTGACTGTCCGTCTGTGCCAGCGATAACTTGAGTAAAAATTACACATGTTCTTTGGCGCAAAAGTAAAGGCGAGTTCATATATGAGCGTAATCGGACCATTGCCACGCCAACAAACCCCCTTTAATCGAAGCCGCATATGGTGCCAAAACTAAGCCGTAAATCAAGATACAGAACTCAGATTTGGCACAACGAATCACATTGAGGAGAGACACCTGTTGTTTGAAAACCCTTAAAAAGTGGAAGCGGCTCCGTCTCGTAATAAGTTTAATGTATATATCTCCCATACCAATAAAGCTATATCACCTTGATTTGCGCAGGTAAGTTTTTTCAACCCTTCTTCCGATAGTGTGAAAATAGATAAAATGGGATGATAACCCCGCACACTTCCCTTATAACGGTTTTGTTAAAAACGACTACAAGTGTGATAAATTAACACTCAAATGCGTCAGAGCATTTTATAGCCAGGATGGCACAAGAAGGCTTTATAGGAGCCGGTATCAAAATTGGACAATGGAGTTTTAGGTAAAATCACATATCTCGGCACCTGCTCGACCGATTACAACCAAATTTATTACGTAACAATCTTACAATATTCTCATATTACAGGAAATCAGACTACAACCACGCCTATTTCCCATATAACACAATTTTAAATTTTATCTGATTCTTTGCAATTTCAGTATACAAATAAAGCACCAATTAATATAACGGGATAAAACCTTGCACGAACAGTGCTTCTGAAGTGTGCCACTCTATGACCAAAAATTGCTTAAATCGAATTAAAATTGTTCCAGCCCCACGTACCGAATTAATGGATTAATGGACCCCAGTGCCTATTGCGACCTTTTTATCAAAAATATTGGTCAATCTCTGAGATATATTATAGAAATTTGAAGAAAATCTTTTCCTGATAATAGTATGCATGTATTTCAAAAAATATATTAAAACGGATCAATAAGTGCTTTAGTGTTTAGTACCTAATAGGCATAGAAATTTCGAGTTTTGGCTGACTTTTTACCGCATATATCGGTCAATATCTGAGATATTTTATTGAAATTTAAAACGCGTTTTTCTCTAATAATAATATATCTTTGTGTTTAAAATGAATAAAAATGGATGAAAACTTACCCTAGCCTCCATATAACTAATATCTATGCAGTGAATGGGGCCAAAACAAAATGGCTGCCGATTCCGATTTTCAAAAGAATATTTAGTTTAGCGATGAAGCTCACTTTTGGTTGAATGGGTATGTCAATAAACAAAATTGTTGCAATTGAAGTGATGATAATCCAAAGCCACTGTTACGACCGCTGATACATTTTTTTCAAATATAAAGCTGGCCGTAATGTTACAGTATTACAGTCAATAAAGGGAATGGTATAGAGCCATGATAATGACTTTTTTATGCTTGAATTGGAGGAAGTTGATGTGGGCGATTTTTGGTTCCAACAAGACGACGCTATATGCCATACGGCCAACGAAACAATGAATTTATTGAAGGAAGACCTCTAGATCTTCGCTTGTCTACGCAGATAAGACCCAGACGATTGATGCCTTTAAAGATAATATTCGGCGCGTTATTTCTGACACACGCGCTCAATATCTGCAAGAAGTGATCGAAAATTGGGCTTATCGGCTGAAATTTATTCGACCCAGGCGCAGCGGTCACTGGTCCGAAATAATTTTTCAAACATAAAGGAAAATATTTGTATTTTATTTAAAATAAAGCTAAATATATTTATTAATTTTGAGGAGTTTCAACTCATGGTAAACAATTGTTATTGGCTTATAGACTTTTTTTTTCGAAGGAGATCTGATAAGTACTCAGTCGTTCTGCTCTGACTTATTTTGACCGCGTATGTGTGTGTGTTAGACGATTTTTGAAAATGGAAAAAAGCAATATTCGGTTATTCAATTAGATAAAAGGTTCTTCGTCGTTTTGACTGGTACACCCCAGAGATCAAGGAAAAATGTGGAATTCACTCACGAACCTGCTCCGCAGACGGTGAATCTGTTCTATGGCAGGAAAGGGGATGGTCATCGATTTAGGCTACTTTGAGTTGCAGAAAAAGAATCACTCGCCAGGCAGCAATTTAAGTTGAATGAGGAGGTCATCGTTGCAATGAACGCCTACTTTGCAGTTTTCTAGAAAACGTATTTTTCAGACGGGCTAGAGAATTTGGTTGCTATGCTTTGCTGTGTTGAGAAATAAATCGCCACATATCAAAAAAATTTGCTTGTATTATGTGGACTAAGTATTTAGTGGGTCGCTATCGTACACACTTATTTATGTAGCAGAAAATCGTCATTATTGTGAAGAATTGTGTAATTTTTCAAGATTTTATATATTCTTCATTAATCAGTTTTTATGTTGGCTTTGTGGTGGTAAATTTGTACACCGCTGTTAACAGCATTCACACAAATATATATATCATCATAATATATAATAATATAATATTTATCTTGCGGTGGCATTGCGTGATTGAAGCATTTATATTCGGATACAATTTTTTGGTGGAGTGCACGACTAAGGTATTTATATGTGTCTTGCTTTTTGCACTGTCTTAATCATTTAGCATTTAGCAGAATAAAAATAATGTGATAAATCAAAATGTCACCAAGCCAAGTTTGTCTGTTGCGTTCGCCCTTACAAGTAGTGCATTTTTCATATTCACTCTTTAAAAGTATGAACCAATAATGTCTTAAGCACACAAATCACAGCAAACAGCACATTTTATAGGGACAAAGCTCAAGAGAGAGTATCGTCAGAATAGCCCATACATTATACTTGTATATTCTTATCCTTCATTGTAGAGAATATAAAAACGGTGTTTACTTAATGATCATTCGGAGCATTAATAGTTTATTGTCTATAAAGTCGTTTGAATCAATCTCAGTCAAACCCAACCCGGAATCAGCCTCATGTTGCAAGATCGGTTAAAAACTATTTGGAAAACAACGACTGGAAGTTTTGCCTTGGTATCAAAAATTATTTTGATTCAATCTTGGTCGCCAAGGCGACACAGTTCTTTTAAAATGCAATTCACAAATTGCCAGAAAGATGGGAAAATGTTACAATTTCAGATAGGCAATATAAGAAATAATACTATTTTGCAGGTTTTTCTCAAATACGAAATAAAAATTTTGTAATAAAAATGTTTCGAAGTGACGTATATATAGACGTTTCAAATAAGTAAGGAAATAAGGCTCGTGTGAGGAAAATATTATATAACCTCCCACTTTGTTGGAATTATGTGTGAAACATTTAGTAGGTCTGCAAAATCTTCACTTACCCCAGCATAATTAGGCGATAGCAGTTTTTCGATGATGGCACACTGTCATCACACAGCGATAAACCGATGCTAGTTCCATTAGCGAAATCTTCTACCGCTTCGATTACGTCCAAATTACCATCGACCATTGGTGGATGCAACTCTGTGTGGCTTACCACACGACTACTAGTCGTAACCGCGCCATTGCTACCGCTTGCGCCGACATCATCCAAAAATGTAACCACATGTGATGTAGTCGTCGAGTGCATTGGTGTTGTTGTAGCCATAGATGGTGGAGGTGTTGTGGTTGCTGCGGTCATAAAACCACCGCCATTGCTGTTGCTCATGTCGCGCACGTGGTCACGTATTGTATCCGAAATGGAATTGGTTAGATTTTTGAGCGGGTCATTTACGGCCACCTCGGCATAGTCATTATTATTACTACGAGCGCAAAACCAATTTCGACATCGATCCATTTTGCCACCATCGGCAACATCAAACGCACCCATCAACCGGCGTGTAGGCAAAGCGAGCAAACCGTTAACAGTAATCGATATAGCGAATTCGAATTCGCGTGATATTCTAATATCTCATAGCGAATCATGCGGATATTGGTATATACTTTCACAATTTCGCAACAATAAAAGGAAATCGAAAAAAATTTCAAAAGGGAAACAGAAAAATCACAATGGTTGCCTAGCCGAAAGTAATCAAAATATGCTGGGATTGGTTAACGAAATGCTGGAATATATGTATGTATAACTAGTGAGCGCACACAAACGAGTATATATTTGTATGTATGTCATAAGCGGAGTTTTCATTAATTTTTGGACTGGTTTCTTTATTTTTTTAATTTTTTACAATATCCGTACAAGTTTTATTTTTTGTTATTGTAAGCGATTAATTCACCACACGACATTTATTCATATTTTTTAAATTTATTTATTTTCACACGTTTCACTTCATTTTCTTATTGAAAATTGAAAATTTTTTTATCTTTTTATTTGGGCGTATTATTTGAACGTAAATAAACCCAAAAATATACATTATATTTCGCTCTAATTCGTTCCTTTGAAGACCAGAGTAGGCGAATCTGCAATGAAAAGTGAATTTTGTGTGTTTATTAAAAAAGTATCTGTACCTAATTATAGATAAGATAATTAATATTGGATATATCTCCTTTTTGAATATTTTCTCAGAGGAATTTAAAGTTTCAAACCGGCTAAGCTTTTTTATGCTTGCATATATAAGATTGATATGAAAAAATGGTCGGAATATGACGTTAATGTAAAAATTAATATTTCTGCTGTTTTTCTTTAGCGACTTAACGAACCCTTAAAAGAACAAAAAACTTCCAGAAAGTTTGGCTGATATAGCTTCTATGATTTGAGATTTCCACCTAATAAATTATTAAAAAGAAAAACCTTAATTGCCAAAGATTGTGTTCAAAAACTTGATTCCGATCGTTCAGTTTGTATGGCAGCTATCTGTTATAGCAGTCCAATATCGGTTGGACCTTCGGGCGGTTCCGTCAAATGAACAGGTTCTTAGAAGGAAAAGGATGTGTGCTAAATTTTAGACGTGTGCTCTATCAGAGGAATTTGGCAATATCGACTCAGCTCGTCGTCCTGATCTTTTATAAATAATTAATAGGGGCTCCGACGTTTCCTTTAAGATGTTAAAAGCATCGTGGTAAGCTTAATACACACTGTTCGGGGTATAAAATGAATATAAAACAAGTAAGAAAGCGCTAAGTTCGAGTGTAACCGAACATTTCATACTCGTGCAACTTGCAAGGATCAAAGCCAGGGAAATACATTCAGGTCTTGGCAATTAAGTTGATGTGCAAAACGTCAAGCAGAGGATCGCAAATGATTATATTGGTTGGACCAATTCCATTCATATTCAGCGCTAAACCACATAATTTCTAAGAAAGCTTGCCCACTTAAATTTATTAAAATATCACACATTTTGACCAACCTAAACGGTTGTAAGGCAGGAGGAAGGTCGGAAATCATTATATAGGGTATATTGGGGGCAGTAAAGATCTGAGCTGATTTCACTAACTTTTTACATTGCTCAGTTATATTCAAGAACATGTTTTCAAGTAATGAACAAGTTTTCAGCCGATTCTATCCATTTTATGCACAAAGATACAATGTTTTTATAAAGTCAGCCGGAAGTTCGTAAATTTTTATATTAGGTTTATGGGAACTAAGGGAATTATCGATCAGATTCAACTCATTTTTGGCACAAGGGAATCTTGTTATCAGATAAGGATTCTCTCTGTGTTTCTGTAACATATCTGAAGATTGCTGAAGTTATCGGTTGTACGGGTGGACGGACGGACAGAAAGACAGTCACTCGGAATTCAACGCGTATTGACATTTTAATCATTCATGGTATATATATTCTACATAACTCCATATCTATTTCGATTAATTTTAGGTGATACAAACTACCGTTAGGTGAAAAAACTATTATACTTTGCTACTAAAACTAGCGAGAGTAAAAAACAAATCTAAATATCTGAATAAACTGTATTTACGTAACTAAATCCACGCAACTAGTCACATTGTATTTTAATTGCATTTCGACCTTCCTTGCTTTATTTAATTTAGAATTTGTAATTGTTTTAATGCCGTAAGCATAGTTTCCTGTAATAAACTGCATGAATTGAGCTTTGAGTTGAGAACTTAATTGCAAACGCTTATGTATATAATATATGTAAGATAATATGCAACAATTATGCAGATGTTAGTGGAAAAACACAAGATAAGATAAAAAGTTAATAAAGCACAGCAGATATGTAAATAGCTATAGAAGGACTCTTACACACATTTGTACAGTCCATTTACGTAAACTGCAACTATTTCAAACTAAATTCACAAATACACGAACACCACCATCTCAATTTTAGATAGTTTTGTGCATAACAATGCAAAATAGCGACAAGTTTGAAACTTTTTTTTTTTTATTTTTGTCACTAAAATTTAATTACTTAGTTATTTTCCCAGTTCGTAGAAAGGGAAAATATTTCTTTGTTTTTTATTTATTTTTATTCTTCAAAACTTTTAGTGCCGTAAACTGTTCTACAATTAAACTGTCAAACTCAAAAGTTTGTGATTTTGTGACACTTGTCTCAATCACAAGTATAACTGAAATCGTACTAAGGACTCAATTAGGCTTCATTTGGTCTGCAGGGAGTAGCTACATTGTTTGCTAGCTCCATGCAAATTATTGCAAAACTATGAGTAAATTATTCACTTTCAGTAGAAAATATTACATATACTTGTAAGATATTACATAACAAGTAAGGAAACGCTAAGTTCGGGTGTAACCGAACATTTAATACTCTTCAAATTATTCATTTAAGGTAAGAGGATACGTCATTGGAAATAAATTCTTTCTGAATTTATGTAAGATTTCTTACCATATATATTGACCGATAGAAGCGGTATAAAAAGCAATTGATGTTCGGAACTGTTGATCCGATTTTTGGCAGAAGTTATAGTTCGATGTCATAAATTTTTTGACGTTAGATGAAATATCTTGAGGGTACTGTTAGTAAAGTTTACCCCTCATAACTTCATTAATGTTTGAATTGTATACTGTAAAGTAAAGGAATCAGATAAATCTAAAAGATCCGATTTTCATAGTATGTATTAGGAATATTTTGGTAACCTCACATATCGAATTTAGTTGAAATCAAGAAGTCCTGATAGACAGAAGAAATCGTTCCCCGTTAAAAGTGTAGACAATTTAGGGGGCACGTGGCTTAGCAATGCTAGGGGCGGTAAGGTAGAAGGAGTCGGTAGAAATCTACCGACGGAAACCTTGGGTAGGGCAGAAGTGCGAGGCGGAATCGCCAGCATCATAAATCTGATCAGCTTGTTAGCACACTTTAATGTCCCAAAAGAATGACGGAAAGGAGAGGCCGAACGAACCTTACACTTCGATTAAGTGGCAGAGGTCGCATGAGAGGAATCCTCCATCTCATAAAGACGGTAAGAAGCCGCACCGATGTTTAGCGAAATCGCCAGCTCAGTAAAGCTTGGTGTGTACGACCGTATCAGGGGAGATGGAGCCATCACCCATGATTAATGGAAGCGGGTAGCGACCGCTATTTTTATAATGGAAAATACCGGACCACCCCTTAGATGTAAAAGTGCCGGGTGGCACCTTAGTATCCACAAGCTTATAGGGTATGCCGACGAACGGTCGGTATTCCTTTATAAGGAGACGGTAGCTAGGGTAGGGGAAGTGTTGAAAGGAGCAAGGCAAGCGGCTTTGGGCTCATGTCTGTCTTCCGGCCGAACTCTCCACCCTGGCCGAAATTGAAGAGATGTTGAGTTATTGCAATCAGTCTCTTCCTCACTCTTAAATAGGGAGTCCCTTGCTCCTCTCAGTCTCGCAAAGGGGGCCATAAGATATGACTTCGAGAGAGTGGTTCTCAGGATTCTGCCAACAGAAGCTAGGGCGGATGAGCCGCTGCCTCTAGCGGGAGCAGAAGAGAAGGGGAAAGGGATCCAATCTAAAATGGACATTGAAGCCTTTCTTTTCGGACGGCGTGAGCACGAGAAGCGGCTCGTCAGTTGATGATGAATACTCTATTGCTTCGTCTAGGAAGAGTTGAAGCCGAAGTTGTCCTTATCCAAGAATCTTGGCTGAGTAGAAATGGAATCTCTGGATTAAGGACAAAAAGCTAGAAGCTCCAGGCGTCAAGCAACAAAGGTAGAATCAGAGCATGTTTATTGGTCAGAATCGATCTTAACGTTTTCCTCTTACCTTATTTCAGCAACGAGGATGTTGTCACTGCTAAGCTGGAGGACAGTGCTGGAGAACTCTGGCTTGTCGCAGCCTATATGTCGCACGACGACGAGGTGCTACCATTCGGACCTGCTTTGGCAGAGGCCAAACGAGGAGGAGCTGGAGTTATAGTAGGTTCGGATGCCAATTCTAGGCACACCGTCTGGGGGAGCTCGAACATTAACGCAAATTGTGAGTCACTTTTTGATTTTATATGTGGTGTAAACCTTTTGAGTGAAGTTCCCACAAATAAATCTACTAATACTTGGTATTAGATCACGAGACTTATCTGGGAAGGTAGTTCCCATTACATTCTATAAAACTTGTATGATTTGAAATAATGTAATAGTTATACATATAGGGTACTTTCAAATATCAAATTGATAACCAGGTTTAATAAATTTAGTGTAAATAAATACTAAAGGTAGAATGAAACGAATAATTGTATCTCCTATTTTAAGCTACGAATATAAAATAAACATATGTACTATTCTTCAAAGCGAAAAAATATGGCTAAATTATTTAGCACAAAAGCTAGTAGCGTTATTTCAATAAATTTGGTAGCAACAACTCTCTTTATTACCCTATGTACTTGTAATAATTTCATTCTTTATAGTCATATGCATATTAAATTGACTATCTAAAAAGTTGTATATAAAGGGTGATCCATTTCGAGGTTCCCTACTTTTTTAAAGAAAAAAACACAGGAAGTTCAAATTGAATGGGAATGTTTACTATCACTTGAAAGAACATTACTTGGCATTTATTTCTTGAAGATCATCTCTTTGAAATGTTGGGCGCGGATGATCCATCCGTTGAGACTTCTTTGAGGATTTCGACTGATAATTGGCGAATGATAGGCGTGATGTTTTGCTTGTTTACATACCCATGGAGCCAGAAACCGGCCTCATCGCTTAACAAAATTTTGCTCGAAAGCGCACGATACACATTCTTTACAGAACGTGAATTTTCGTAATAAAGTTGAACAACTTGTAAAAGTTATTAAGGCGTAAGTCTTTTTATCTCGCGTGATCTCTCTAAAAAAGGCTATTGAAAAAAGTACCTCTACTTCGACCACCCGTTAAAAACTTCCTACCTTCCCTAGTAGAAGAATATGAAAGCGCCCCTTGCGTTAAGGGGCACACCTAGTGTGAAATTATTATATAATATAATATAATCGAATCTTTGCAAATACATACTAAATTCTTACTTCATTTTCTCCGAGTAATCGCTGCAGTAAATTGGAAAAATGGTTTTTTGAGAAATGCGCTTTTAAAGATAAAC